TAAATTAGTATATTATCGAGATAAACTACGTAAATCACGTTAAGTAATCCTACGAGTATAGTATTAATATATCCTTAGAACGCTCCTAGCGCATTTATTAGCCCGAATAGTATAATAGTATACTTAAAATAACTATATCTAGTCCGAAATGCGGTTTTCTACTTATCTCCGCGACGAATTCGAAGCTAGTAATATATATCTCGTAAATCTAGCTTCGTAAAGTACTTTACCTTTATTAATTAGTCTAAAGATTTATTAACTAGCGGTAATAGGTGATGATTCTTCTTAGTTACTATATTTAGTACCTGATAGTCGACGCATAGACGTAAACTTCCGTCTTTCTTCTTTACGAAGAGAATAGATACGCCGGCCGATAATATACTATAACATATCTAGCCTCTTTTAAGGTATTCTTTAATATATTTACGAAGAACTTCGAGTTCTAGTCTCGAAAGTGGGTAAAGTAGACTATAAGAGACGTCTACTCCCTCTTCGAGCTTAATCTTTAGCTTATACGGCCCGTAATTAGGGAGAAGTAACGCATCTCCTACCGAAAACATATCCGTATACTACGAATATATATCGGGTAGCGTGTCTTCGCCCCGATTATTACTATCGTTCTCGTCTTTATTAATAATTAATAAGGATATAAGATAGATTAGCGACGATTAGGTCCGCACGGCGAGGTTCTATGCCTCCTTACTAATAGTTACGACTTACTAGTATAATTTACCACGGTATTATCGGAACGTTAATATCTTCTTCTAAAAATTAAGGATAGGGTTTAGGCGTCTAAGCTAAGGTATCCCTAGAATTATATTCTATTAGCTAATATTAGCCACGATAAATTTATTAGATATCTACTATTTTATTATCTTTAAGTCATGAACTCCGTAATTCGTTATAGCTTTACCTAAAGTTCTAACTTTATATCTATTAACTATAATAGTTTAGCTAACTTTACCGAGATCGTACGATAATCTATACTCCTTTATAAGAATCGACGAAATATAGTAATCTTCTATACTAGTGTCCACGAGGGCCTATATAGTTTTATTACTATTTACTATAGGTAACGATACTTTTAGTAATATTAGGTCTTTACTCGCCGGAAGGCGCTACGGCTCCTTCTAAGTATATATAATTTAGCTAAGAACGCGGTTAGGTCTCGTGTACTAGCCTATTCTTTTTTCGGATTCTTATAGTTAGGCGAAATATATTCTATTTCTCTATACTTATAGTAACGAAGTACGCTATAATCCTACTATTTTACGATAGGTGTTATATTTAAGTCTATACCTTATCCTTTTCTATGTTAAGAAGTACCGCCTTAATTATTTTAGTATCCTCTTAACGCGTTTCTACCTCGATTTACGCTTTTCTAGCGCTAATCGTAGTAAGGTTACTCTTAATCGAATGTATTCGATCGACCTTATTTCTAACCCGTATAGGGTTCGTCGGTTTTACCTAGAGAGCCGCGTTCCTTAAGGATGCGGTAGTGTTTATTAGCTTTCTCCTCTAATTTATGTAGATAGTTAAAACTTAATAATACTATTCCTAGTCTTTTGCGGATTAATAGAAGTAGTACTTCGTGAAACTAGAATATACGAATATTTTTCTATAGCGTAGGGATATTATTCTATAGGTTTTAGAGGTATTATAGTAGTTAAGTAGGTGTCTAGTTCGGTCGTTATACCACGCTTCTTAACTTAGATAGTGCCTTTCTTTCACGTTCTCCATCCGTTCCGAGAGTGTTTAGTATAAATATAGCTAAATATTCCTAGGTTATCGTAGATAGTGGCTGTACTTCCTTCTATCTATCCTATTAATCGCGGGATTATAAGCCTAGGTATCGTTCTCCGAACGAAATACGTTATACTTTAGTAGAAAAGAGTAGAGGGTTATCGAGGAAGTACTTTTCGTAGTCTCTCTTCTAGTCTTTCTACTCCTTTTGGTTCTTCCCTATAAATATAGTCGGGTCTTTAGGTTTTAGTATATCTAGGGAAGGAGTAGAGTAAATCGGTAACGAAGCGGCTAGGTATACGGTGGATTATCGCAACTCTAATGGTAGGTAAACTAATTCTACCTGAATTAGTATAGAAAGTCGTCCATCTACTATTATTCGGCGTAGTTCTTTAAGAGACTCCTTAAGTTCTCGTCTCTTTATGAGGAGTTTCGCGCGTTCTACCTATTCTTTAAGGGTTTAAATCTCTTGAGCCTAATTCGCGACGTATTTCTAAAGTTCGGTAATGGTTTATTATAATACCTTACGTGGCTCCGCCACGACTTATTATCCGGCTTTATATTATTAGAAGTTACTCGGTGTATCTACTATTTCTTCGTCTAAAAGCTCCGTGATTTAGTCTAATATTTCTACTTCTCGGTTAGAAATGGCTAGGATTAATACCGATTATAGAGGATCCCTATTATTTAATATAGTGTTACTTATCCCTATAGTAGATCGTATCGACCTTCTCGGTTCTAGTTAGACTATCTTAACTATAGTACTATATAGGGAGTAATTCGAATATAAGAATAGGGTTATTAGATAGTAGTATAGTTAGATAGAATAATAGGGTGTATTCTATTATAGAACGAATTACTACCGAACCCTTTTAGTAGAAATCCGAGAGTATATATATAAAGGGACGCCGATCTATCTAGTACGTGACTATTTACCGCCCTTCACATCACCTTCTAACCCTATTAGCTAAGGTACGTGTAGGTCGGGTCCTATCTAAGGCTAAGTCCTAATAGAGACGGACCGGCGTGGGTACGCTAAGAATTATATAAATTAGGAAAAAGATTTAACGATCGGTATAGAACTATATACCTTTAGTATAGAAACTTCTAGATTAGAGCTATCTTCCCTAAATTTATAGCTCTTTAGTACGCGCGAGGAAGGAACCTTAGCCTTTTTACTAGAACCTTTTCTAGGAATTTTAATATTACTAGTATATAGAAAGAAGTCTAAAGTAGTAGAGATTTTAGTACTATTATAGAGATTAATATATATTAATAAGAATCTATAATGATTTAAGAAAAATAATATTATCTAGTAATCGCGGTAATAATAGCTATAGTAGATTCTAATAAATCCTTATAGATCTTATTAGAATCGTACTTCTAGGCGTAACCCTTACCTTAGATATATAGCTTATAGAAAGCCTTCTCTAAGGCGTTATGATTAGTAGTACTACGCTCCTTATTAGTAGAGGTTACTAGAGGTCTAGTAGTAATCTATACTAATATAAGTAAATCTATATAAAGTTCTTTAAACTTACTTAAATATCTATAAGTAATAACGCTTCTTAGTTATATAAGTACCGTATATTATAGATTTAGTACTACTATAAGTAATATATAACGGAAAGTAATAACTATAATAATATATAGCTAGATTATTAGAGCCCGGCCTAGGTTAGAATAGATTAATAGCTTTTAATATATTAGTAATATATACGAGATAGGGATTATTTAAAGACGCCTATTTCCATACTAATTACTTTAGAGCGTTAAGATTTCGGGAAACTATATTATAATTATTATTAATTTATATAGATTATTACGAATTATATTATTACTAGCTAAGGACGGTATGAAAATTAGTAAATTATATAAATCATACTAAATTATAGTAAATCTATATAAATCTATATCTATAAGGATCGGGTAATATACCTAATAATCTAAAAAACTCTATAAAGAGTTAAGAAGTTTTTTAAAGAAAGGAATATTTCTAAGAAAAGATTTTAATATAGGTAGTACCCGGGCTTACCTAATTATATTATATAATACGCTAGGCCTAATTAGGTAATCTTACCTATATAAGAAATTAAGATAGATAAAATCTAGTTTATTAGGAAAACACTTATATAAATCTTAGATTAGTAAATATTAGTAAGTATCTAAGACGAAGCGTAGAGAATAACTAAGGTCTTACGAGACTTAGAATAGAGATATAGGAATAGATAATAATCTAGGTTACTAAGGGTAGCTTCCTAGAGGGAAGGGATAATTATTAGGACTTAGTCTTAGGTAGAACCCGATCTATATATATCTTAGCTAATAGGGTTAGAAGGTAACGTAAAGGGCGGTAAATAGTTACGTACTAGATAGATCGGCGTCCCTTTATATATATACTCTTAGATTCCTACTAAAAGGGTTTGGTAGTAATTTATTCTATAATAGAATACACCCTATTATTCTATCTAACTATACTACTATCTAATAACCCTATTCTTACACTATCTTCTAGTAATATTAGTAGTAGTATAAGAGATAGTTAGCTAGTAAGGAGCCTATATAGATATTAGTATTATCTATAATACCGCGAGTGGTATATTACAACTCTATTACCATGGATATTAATAGCTTTATCTCTTAGTACTCCGAATTACTAGAGAAAGAATAGTATAAGGTTATTAAGGATAAGCTTATCTACTAGCGACGTAAACCTTCTATTAACTACGATAGTAAATAGGCTAACGCGCTAATTACCTTCTAGATAGCTTATTAGAATAACTATCCTTAGCTAAGTTAACTAGTAATTGACGTTCTAAGTATCCTAGCCTTAAGTTATAAGTATAAACGTGCCTTTAGCGAGGCTGGCGATATAATTACTACTCGTTAAGTAAAGCTTTATCCTATAATAGTTCGGCTAGTACTCTACTTAAAGTCGTAGATAGAAAAAGAACTTATTAACTTATAGCCTAAGTCGTAAGGCTAATAATATACTTTTCCGTTCTATATGGTAATCGACTTAACTTAGTAGAGGGTGATTCTATTAAAAAAGCTCGGATTTTAGCTATTTCCTCGGTTTTTGACTTAAAGTCATCTATAAGTAACTATATTTAGATATACTTATCTCTTGGTTTCTCTATCTCCTTCCTAATTAGGTAATTATTATATAAGCGAGTTAATCTAATATAAGTAATCTTAATCCCTTAGCGTAGATTCCAAGCTTAATCTATACTTTTGGGGTGACTAATCATATAATCCTAATCTAGTACCTCGGATTGTATCCGATTGTATATGCTCACGTCTGCGTGTAGAGCGAGGATGATGTAGAGCCCCTGATCGCTAGCCCATCCCATGATTCTATCGAGGTACTGGAGGCCCCCTCGAGGGAAGTATTCGTAATCGCGATCAACAATGTCTTCTAAAATCCAGTACCCCACAGATATGCGGATTGTATTCAGTCCATACTCAGCCATGGTCCTGATATCATCCTGAGTTATCCAAGTATCCCAGTGATGCTGGAATACAGTGTCGGCTTGGCTCTGGCCAAGCTTAGACACGCAGTCAAACTCGGATTTGAGACCACGACAGCCCATGTTGTTGAACGTAGTCCGAGCCATCCATGGCTCAATGACAAACAGAGACCCCACGTTGACACCACGAATCTTTCCAGAGGGTGGAAGCCACTCGGCAGTGGAGTCTGAGCTGTGGCTGTCGTCGCCGCGCCGGACAAGTGAAGCATTGAAAGTGAAGACATCTCTGTCTTCGTTCTCAAGAGGCAACCATGCTGACGCGAGAGTAGTAAAGACAAGTAAAAGGCTAACTAGATGAGAAACCATCTTGAGGGCAGTATACGTAAAAGGAAAACGCGTGACCGGGATACACATAAAAAGACCCAACGATAAGGAGAGGGATTAGACCTACCTTGTAGCACGTCCAGGGCATACTTATAAGACAACCCATCTGTCCCTCGTCATCATCTTCTCCTGGAATGCGTAGCGGTAATGTCAACTCCGAGAACTAAGTTCGATTGAGTATCTCGTTCTTGATGCAAGGTTACCTGGCGATGACAAAGATCGGGCTGAGCCGCCGAAGGTTGTTTCGATTGCCAGACCCCTGCCATACGAGGATCTCAGAGTATGCTAGATTCGTACTCCGCATGTGCCTGTAAGGGACGAGTGAGCTTGAATATGGGGTGTCTGGCATGATGTGGTGTGTTGTTCGAAATGCAGGCTGTAATATTAATTACCCAGATAGTGGCATGCAAGGGCCAGAACGTGCAGCGCAGATCGCCGGTAGCCCAACGCCCTTGGCCCAGCCTATGAAATAGGTTCTGCCCTAGGACCGGCACAGTCCTAGCCTCCGTTTAGCCAGGAACATGATCGTCACAAACATAAACAATTAAACATCATCATGAGGTGGATAATAAGTCAACAGTAGTTATCCTCTTGATGTGCGCATCGCATGAGCAGGCCTCACCCAACTTATGCTCCGGTCTATTGTTCAGTCTGTAACGGTTAGTTAGTGCCGTTATGTCGAGTCTTGTCCTGGCTATCGACATCGTGTGTTCGCATTTGTGGGTGATAAAATAGTATTCGCATAAAAGAAAACATTTCACGCTATATTCCATACCCCTGTCTTAAATTTAATTTCATTTCATTTCCTGTCTTTAAATCACCTCCATATTTTCATGACTGACGAACCATGTGTTGTTCCCAGTATCGACCGTCAAATTCGTCTGCGTTGTCTTTCCATACTTGATCGTTCCACTTTCCACCACCCCATTTCCAACCGGTCGTTGCAGCCGATTGTCACCTGCGGCCACGGTGAAGTTGGCGATCGGGATTTCCCAGTTGTTTCGGGTGACCACGGTTGGAAGACCGAAGTATCTAGCCTCAACCTGGGCATGCGTGAAGTGCAGCTCGTAGTAGCCACGGTAGTATAGGTCGTTCCATTGTAAAGAAGTGGTGTCTGATACTAGTGTGTTGGTGTAATTGTTTGCACGGTCGATCGTTATGTTTGCGCCATACGGACACGGACTGCTCACAGCGCTACCTGCAAACTCAACGCCAAGGGAGCCTGAACCGGTGACTGGATTGTAATCTGCGTGCTCTAGCCATGTCAAGTCACTGACCCAACTTGCATGGCTGTCACCAGCAAGGAAGATGTTGTTGCCGATGTTGTTGTCGTACAAGGTCGCCAAGGTACGGTTCTTATTCGATTGGTAGCCGTCCCAAGCGTCATAGTTTAGTGGACTGTCTTCACCAAAGACCACGCTCTCGTTCAAGCGTGAGAAGACGATTTGACTACCAACAACGCGCCACGTTGCACCACGCTCGGCAGACGACGTGAGTTGATTGTAGAACCAGTGCTCCTGACGGCTTCCCATCAGTGAGCGGCTCGCGTCGTTGGAGATGGTATGGATATAGTCTGTGTTGAAGTACAGATCGGTGATGGAGCGGTCATACTGGCGTGTATCGAGCATGATCAGGTCGATCAAGTCACCGATAGCAAAAGAGCGCCAAATACGAAGGTTGTCATCCATGTCGACTTGGCGGATAGGCATCCACTCAAAGTAGGCACGCACAGCATTCATCTTGCGTTGGTCAACGGATACGCCGCCGTCCATGACAAAAGACTGTTCGGTGTTGTTCAGCGTGGACGAGCCGTCGCGATATGTATTATCTGCAACTTCATGGTCGTCCCAAACAGGGATCCAAGCAAACTGTTGGTGGGACGCAAGCAGGTCGTGGTCTTCACGGTAGTTGGCAATACGGCGGCGATAGTCATGCAGGGTGTATAACTGGCGATCAGGCTGTGGGATGCGACCGATGGAGTAGCCATAGCCGTACTCGCCTGTGACTTGTAAGTAACGTGCTATGAAACCGGGCTATTCTGGCTTACCCTCAGCGTACTCATAGATATAGTCTCCAAGATGGACCACATAGTCAACAGAGTCCTTGCGGACAGGATTGCCGTAGGCATTGAAGAAGCCGAAAGCTGCTTCTTGTAAGTCATATGTCTCTCCTTCATGGCTCGCCTCACTTACGGAAGTTGGAGCAGGAATAGATTGCCAGCTTTACGTCCGTGACGTGGTCGTCCTTGTTTGGTGTCGTCTTGGTGCGGCCGACCGGGCTGGTGACATTCGAATTGCAGACATTAAATTGGTAGTAGTACGTAGTAAAGGGCTGTAGATTCGACGCTTCGACCTGTTTCACTTGCATCAGCCCACTTGTACCCGTTATTCGGACATAGTGAATACCTTGACCGTAAAGTCAACGTCTGAGCTAGTATAAGCTTCCCCGTGGTCTGCAACGTCCTCGAAGCTCTTGTCGGTGGAAACCCTGTACTCAACGCATACAGGTGCTGTCGAGACCTTGACATATTTTTCCGTCTCGTGGCTGTATAGCGGAACATATCCGCTGACAGTGAGGTTGGAATGGTCGTTGTCTTGGACTGGCCCAACACGAGTCCAAAGGATCACTGAGTCCGGAAATGGGTCGCCGGACGCAACACCGTGAGTAAAGTTCAAGTGAGACGGGTTCCATGGCATAGTAGGGACATTGCGCTTGACAACCTTGTGAATAGCTATGCCCAGCCCTGGGTGATGCTCAGAAGGTGACCTGTAATTGAGGTTCTTGGTCCAACTCGCGCTCGCCAGAGCGGCAGAGGTAAGGACAGAGAGTGACTGAAGCTTCATGGTGCCAATTGAGATCAGAGGACAGCCCGACGAACGCAATGGTCCTCGTATGCCTTCACATACTACCTTTTGTAGCTGCAGCGTCCAGCTTGAGCTATGCCGGCGATGCGCTCGAAGCAGAGCTCTGTCCCGAGACCAATTGTATAGCGTGTATTTGACATCTGTGCAGCACGTTGCGAGCGGATTTACAGAGCGAAGCTACTGGAATGAAGAGGATGCGATTGGATGAATAGATTGATGAGGCCGAGACGAGAACTTCTAGCTCTAGGGTTTGACGTCAAGCAACCCAGAAACGTGGGAAGCGAGAATTGCACTTTGGCACAGTGGTACTTGTGGCACTTTTGGAACCACTTGGGGGCGGGACCAAGCCGGGCGCCCAGCAACTCGTGGGGGAGCAACGGGGGCTGATTGGGTGCCCGGCGGCTGATGTGGGTGCCCAGTGTCGCCGGCAAGACGCCTTGACTTGGGCGGGCTTGCTGCTGCTGCCGACTGCCAGGAAACTCCCCAGCATGCCCTCAAAGCAAATGAATGTAGCACGCCTTTCTTTTTTCTTTAGATATCAGGCTCTTTCTTCCCTCACTTCCCTGTACTTTCTAGAAGGCCAGCTCCTGACGTACATGAAGCGATGCAGTCCTCGTCTAGCAATGGTACAAACATCGTGTTGCTCAGATGTGCTGTGCGGCCTCCTCCTTCAAGAGTCGCAGATGTGGCTGAACAGGCCATGTACTCGTTGGATGTCTGGATCTTTCGACATGATATTGTGAAATAAATAGGTCTACGACCATATCATCCAGGTATTGGCTCCGCTCTTATGAATCATGCCACCCGGTCAATGCTGCAACGACTCTGTCTGACTCTATGGCAAATCTCGCCGATATTCCGGTAGTAGCGACGTAAGCATTCCGGCCGTGCTGGAGAACGACGACAAGACGTTGAAGCAAAGATGCGAGAATGAGTTACGGTGATAACTGGTTCACGGTTGGTTCAAGACGACAAAAACCTAGCCACAATCAGCCACGCAATGAGTAGGACGTTGGTATGGATACCTTCGAAACTAGACCTGCAAATAGGAATGTTACCAATGGTCTGTCTACCCATCCATACCTCGTCGTGCGCCAGGCCCTGCTAGCCCTGCATATCGACATGGCGCATTGAAGATTGTCATGAGTAGAATGAGGTAAGCGTCCACGGTTTCTGCACTGTCAGCATGAAGGTCGAGATCCTTCCAAGCTTCTAAGCCTAGACGCTGAAACGATTGATTAGGCGTACGCATGGATAGGCAAACCCATCAAAGACACGAAAAAAATCCAGCCTTTTGAGGGATTTCAAGTGGCACCTAATGCACACCTAGATAGGTAACATCAACCATGCATGTAAGCAATACGGCATGCGGTTTTCGTCGTTCGTCGTGATTAGTGCTGTAGCCTGTAGTGCGCACCTAAGGCTGACGGTCGTCTGCATAGCGTTGTCTCCCAGTATTGATAGAGTATGGATAGGTGGATAGGTAGATAGCTAATACTCCTAACACTATGTACTAATACCTACTGTCTACTACCTACTTACTACCTAGGCAATCGCTTAGTCCAGTCATGATATATCGCCAACCGTCTCCCAAGAGTCACTAACACGCTGGGTCTTACCTGGACGGCAACCCTCAGCCCCCGCAAGACAGCTCTCTTGCTGCCTTTTTCTATTCTTCCAAATGTCCTCCAATCAGCGTTCACCAGGACTGCCTCTTGAGAGTCTCTCTTACTACTGCTCTCTGCCTCGTCAACATTCATTCTCGTCTTTTGTCTTCTCCCTCTCGCCGTCTCCTGCTTCGTCTATACCACTTCTCTCCATCTACCCATCACTCATCACTGACATTTCCGCGACACCTCCGCCACAACTCGTCGGAACACGCTAGAGATCCTTCTTCTTTTTCGTCTCCGAAACCGCGCACCGACCCCTACCGCTGCTCCACATTCCAAGAAGTGCCGATTCAACGTCGACAGTATTACTGTAGTGTTAGCGGCAGTGCATTGGACGTGCATAGGCCTGTTCCTCACGCGCTGAGCCTCGTCCAAGACTCCCAAGACTATTGCGACACTGCTGGACCTCCAGCGCTTCGCATCCTTTAAACACCAAGCCTTACCTCAGCCCCTCCACTCTGCGACGCTCTCTCCAACTTCCATCCGACACATTCGTTCTTCGCGTTTTCGCATATTACACTCGTTTTGCATTATCTTCTGCCTCTCGACTCGCCCTGGAACATAGCTTCTATTGCATCACTCACCCAAACACCGTCAAAATAACCAGACCAAGATTGTGCAAAGAGCAAGGCTCTGGGAGCTTATGAGTGTTTGGTGACTGTGCGCGATTTGTGGAACTGCGACTTGTTCCTGGAGAAAGAAGCAGACGCAATTTCAGAAGAGGTGGAAGGTGGAATCAACGTACAATGCCGCAATCTTCTGGAAGATACCAGAATCTAGAAGACTTGAATTCCGGCCGGGACGAAATCAATGTACGTCTACTTGGTGCTCCTCACAAGTAGGAAGAGAATCGCGGTCGCTGACTGGGACTTTGCAGTGGTATTGGCGGCTCATCGCTCTAGTTTCGTCATGGATGATCTTGGGAGGGTACGTTCCACACGGCTTATAGCTCTTGCATTGGAGACTAATATCCATCAACAGATACCTGATATTACCAAATGCATTCATGAGAGACCCTGAGTTGCGATTTAGCAAAGGTGTGCTTAGCATACTGATTGTCACGATAATGACGACAGGCTATTCTTTTACAGCGCTACTTTGCTTCGCTTGCCGAAATTGGCTGTTCCAAGCTGAATCAGTCTTCTTGTAAGTCCTGCTGCATACTCTCTCTTGCAACCGCTAATGTTATCAAGGCCTGCTTTGATAGCCTCTGCCCTTGGCCTTCTCACTGTCCTCTGGAGCTTCGCCTCGAGCACTCGGTTCATATGGAACACTGCGGCAATCATCACGGTCGCACTGGCCGGATTCTCGTCCCTCCTGTATGGTGTCTTACTGATTTCCACGCACCGCAAAATCCAAAGGTTCCGCAAGCAAATCTCCAGCATGCCAAACTACGCCGACAGCCATGACAAAAACTACATCACAAACTACATTAAAAATGTGTACCCGTCAGCAGTAAATTCCGGTACGAACATACCACCCACAGAGCAGGAACAGATCAATCAACACTTGGCTCGCCTTCTAATGAAAAATGACCCAGGGCCATCGCCTGAAGCCTGGCAATCAACATTTAATATTAGCTTGCCAGAAGATCCCAGCCACGAGGCAGGAGGTCGTGAGATACTCCACGGAAGGCGAACAAACACACATCACGGGCTCTATGAACCAGAACGACAAATACAATCTCCCGGTCGAAGCACATGGAACCGCATGGCAGGTGCCATAGCTGGACACCGTGGCCGTTCCGACACTCTGACTGTTCAAGGCCGAGGAAGAGACGCGACCAGATCAGATGGAGATACCCCGAGAGCACTGAGTCGCGAGGAGCGACGACGCGAGATTGAGCTGGGTCAATTATGAGGACCAAGAACGCTAACCCGTCGCTCACTCTTGAAAGAGGCGTTATTCTTCTACTATTTATATTCACGATACCAACTCTACGTAACCTTTTCATATTCATATACGACTGGCGTAAAACGGCGTATCGGGCATGGCACGTGACTAGCGAAGGAGTTGTTCTTATGACGGAGGGATATGTACCATTTCCAGAGCACGAAGCGGCACGATAGGTATAATACGACATTTAGGACAAGAATAAATGAAATGACAGCATGATGTATTCATTTGAGCCGGCCTGCAATGTTGGTCATAATAACTACACTTTTCGTTGCAACTGTGAAGCTACTCTTCGGGTTCGGCACAGACAATGCAGCCGTGCTGTACTAGGAGGAGACTTTTTTATTTTGATAAAAAAAGCATCTGAATATTTACGCATGGGCATTGCAGATGAGCTGGCATGGACAGCACAGCTTCCACCGCAGCAGTAAGTTTGCGGGCAAGAACGATACGCGAAACAACAACATTCTACATACTGACCAATATTAAGCAAAGTTTGGAGGAACTGTGGATTTAGGTATTTGGCGTACTAGAACCATGTATATCTGTTTGTTGTCTTCACCATAGAACTAAGTCACTCGTTGGCTGTGAGCACGGGGCAGAGGTTGGTCCGCAGCGTAGATAAGCTCCCGATCGCGACGGGTAGGCGGGCCTCCCCTTGTCACCTTCCTCTCCCTGAACAAAGCGGCGTCAAGCATTAAGCATCACGCCTCAAGCTTCAACGGCGTGCCGCTGCGGCGCCGTTCCCTTCGTATTGTTCGACAAAGATCCTAACAAATGGATAATTACTGTGGCTGAAGTGTACAGCAATCAATTAATATTTCAACCAGAGCCTATCATACAACCCGCTTACTTGCATCAGAGGCCCCTCAGACTCATTTCTTGTCGTTCAAGAGAGGAACTATATCTCCGCTGACGCACCTCGTCACTGGATATGGAGATATCAGAGATACCTGCCTGTTCGGGTCTGGTACATCCACGTGAACGGCATGATGGCACTAGTGATCATAAACACCAATGGAGGGCCGAATACGTATGGGGATCGCGGAGTTGATGCTATAAGTCTGATTGTTATCCCTGAGCTATGTGGCGTCGACGTTACACTCGTCCTACGGCCGACGACCTGCAAGGAGGAACGGGGAATACAAAAAGCCGTGTCTTCCTCGATACCTCCTATCCTTTATCTTCGCTCTTCGTCTACGAAACAGTATCAGGTTTGTAGAGAAGAGACCAGCTTGAGAGCGCGAATCAGCCATCATGGCTCGCCCAAGTGTCTACCTCGGCTTCGTTGCACGAGTGTTTTTCTTCATACTTCCTGTCCTTATGCAAGCAAACGTTGCATCTGCGTATAGCTCCCGAGAGCGCCCAAACTTCCGAAACAAATGGTTTCATCCGCCAAATCCTCCTATGGCCCCTGGCGTGCCTCTTGCGAATTCGACATTCCAGCAGTACATTGATCACAACAATCCTGATTTGGGCACTTTCTCCCAGTTCTACTATTGGTCTACTCAGTACTGGAAAGGCCCTGGCTCGCCTATCATTCTTATGACCCCTGGTGAGATTGTAAGTCTGAGCCGACTTGGATTTCAGGCCACCTGCTGACTACTCTATCAGAATGTGGTTGGTTATAACTCGTATTTGACCACAAATCGTACCACTGGTGTTCTTGCAGAAAAGATTGGTGCTGCAGTCATCGTTTTAGAGCATCGTTATTGGGGATTTTCTTCTCCGTTCACTGATCTTTCCACTAAAAATCTGCAATACCTGACACTGGAGAACTCCATCGCTGATCTCACCCACTTCGCACGCACAGCCAACCTCCCATTTGACAACCATGGTCGTAGCAACGCACCCAAAGTCCCCTGGGTCCTCGCGGGCGGCAGCTACTCGGGTGCCCTCACAGCATGGACTGCAACCACCTCTCCTGGTACCTTCTGGAGCTACCTCGCCTCCTCTGCCGTCGTCGAAATCACTGGTGATCTCTGGCAGTACTTCGTACCCGTCATGGAAGGAATGCCTAAGAACTGCAGCTCCGACGTGACCAAAGTTATCGACCACATCGACAACATCGGTAACACCGGCACCGATGACGAGCAGTACGCTCTCAAAGAGATGTTTGGTCTACAGGACGTCGAACACTTTGATGACTTTGCAGCTGCACTCGAAAACGCGCCTTGGCTATGGCAAGGGAACCAATTCTACCGCACGACCGGCTTCTTCGACTGGTGCGATGCCGTCGAGAACGTAACGCCTGGCCAACCCATCCCCGGCGCCGAAGGCGTAGGAACCGACAAGGCCCTCGCAGGCTACGCGAAGTTCTTCAACGAGACCATTCTCCCGGGCTTCTGCGAAGGGTTCGGCTACTTCAAAGGCGACCTCAACGTCGACTGCTTCGACACCTACAACGCCCAGAACCCCATGTACACCGACCGTAGCCTCACCAACACCGTCGACCGCCAGTGGGTCTGGATGACGTGCAACCAGCCCTTCGGCTACTGGCAGTCCGGCATGCCAAACGGCAACCCCTCAATCGTATCCCGCTTCTCCAACAAAGCATACTGGGAGCGCCAATGCCCCCTCTACTTCCCCCCCGACGGCGACTTCGTAGTCGGCCTCCAGGCCGGACGCACCTACGACGCCGTCAATAAATACACCGGCGGCTGGGGCGATCGCGCCACGCATGTGCCCAGGCTGTAGTACGGCAACGGCCAGTTCGACCCCTGGCGCGAGGCCACCGTGAGTGCTCGGCTGCGGCCCGGAGGCCCGTATGAGGGTAATGCGGTGAGCAAGGTGCAGTATATCCCCGGCAGCTTCCATACGTCGGACTTGGTTACGGCGAATCGAGTCAATGCCGGTGCGGCGAAGGCGATTGATGCCGAGGTGGCGCAGATTGCGCAGTGGGTGGGCGAATTTCCGCGTGGTGGGCATGGCTGGTAGGATTAGAGAGGGGGAAGGAGAGAGGCACTGCGTGGAGTATGCAAATAATCAGAATAGATTAATCTGATGAGTTGGTTTGTTCTGCGCGGACGTATTACTGGTATACAATGCACGTACCCGTCACGCCTGATTGTAATACCACAGAACTAATAAACGATGCATACACGTTCTGCACAATTTCACAAGAAGATAATATAATCAAATCCATACCACTATACACATAAAAAAATACGCTTAATCTTCCACTCTTACTATATCGAAAACTCTGGAATTCGAAATACTTACCTACTTATACTTCCACTACACTACCGACCCCAAAATTCACCCCCTCCTCCTTCCTTCAGTAATTCACACTCATAGACCTCACCACATCCTAGAGACATAAGCTGCAATGCATATCAATCGTATATATATATCTTCGTAAACATACCCTCAAATTCTTGAACCCATACTGGAACACCGGCTTCGTTTGTTTTCTAATTTATATACGGAGAGTACTATCAACCAGAATTGATGGCTTGTTCTGAAGATAGTACTACTGTACTGTACTTTACTAAAGTTGTGTTTAGAAGTTTCATAGCGATGCGAGCTTGCTATCCAAGGTTTTGAGTTCTCTGGACACACTCGCAAGGTAGGCGCATCTATCCTTCCAGTCACTGCGATATGACCACAACGACGAAGAAGAAGCATATCGCCCTCCATATATCAAGATAAGAAGACAACGATACGCACGCCTCACCACTCCGCAGCCACCCTAAATCAAACAAGAAACCAAGCTCAAGACATCCAGCCACCTCCGAACACACGCAGCGGCACATCCGCAGCACGCCGAACACTCCTCCTACGCGCCATTTTCACACCCAGAATGTGACAATGCTAGTCCCGTGTCCAATCCGCACGGCAAAGCGGGGGCTATTGGGTATATTTTTTTGGTGGTTGCTTGTGTATATGAAGCGTTTGGCCCGCACATCTTTTCCTTATTTGTCTGCTCATACACATCCACCACCACCACAACACTCACACACTTTTGATACACGCAAATAAAAATCACCAACAATGCGTTTCGCTCTCGACATCCTCGCTACACTCGCTCTCTCCACCGTCGCGCTTGTCCTCGCCGATGACACCTTCTGCAATGATCATCAGGCCCATGTAGCCCTCTGCGGTGTAAATATGCCCCCCCTGCTATCCACTATCCACATACCAGCATGACCACTACTAACACACCATCCCAACCCCAGACATGCGTCAATAATGAATGCCAATTGAAAGTGGGCGGTGGCTTCCCACTCGAATGCGATGTCGGAACGGTACGTTATCAAAACCTCCTCCTTTTCTGGCATTCTTTGCTTTCCTTTGCTCTTCTGCACTCCCAACCCCTTTTCCCACCAAAAAAAATAACCAGAAAGAGAGAAAGAGAGGAAGAGAGAGACGTGAAATCGCAGGCTGACAAAAGGGGTGTATATCTAGTGCATAGGCATGGAAGGCTCAGAGTGCGTCATCGAGAAGGTGGACATCTGGGCGTACCAGATCGCGCATTGTCCGAATGGGTATCCGCCCGAGGATAAATGGCAGGGGCCGTGGCATGATAATTTCGATTGGGATGAGGATAATGAGAATGAGGAGCCGTGCTGCTAGAGTAGGGGGGCTTTGGGGGGGAGGACTAGGGTTTTTGTCGATATACTCTATGCAGAAGCTGCTCTCATTACTTGGGATTTTTTCGCTGAGTGGGGCATGGGTTGAAGTATATTTCTCGTTGGTTGAGGTGTTCATCTTGGCTGTTTCTCGCTTGATTATGTTCCCTGTATGTGTGACTGGGTTATGATCGACGCTGAGCTCGGTGGTACTGGAGTGGTGACAGAGGGCTGGTATTTAAACTCATATGAAGCGCTATACCTACACAGAAAGCCTCCTCCCACGAGATCGCAGGTCTGCTTTGTGCCTATTCAAGTATACGAGGAATCTGCTAAACATTTCAATGACTGTGTCTGATGAGCTTTCAGGCTTCCCCTGCCATCGCGGTGACTATTTGCTGCGCTTTTAGATGAAGAGCAGCTGAGTGTCGTTCCTGGAGCTTGCTTGCTCGATGATACTAATTGTATAAGACCGCAAGACTGATACAAGAGCTAAATTTGGTCGATAGGAGATGTAATAACGACGTTCCCTTGACCAGACGAGGCTGTGCTGGAAACTAACCGGTCGATCGCGTTGACACCACTTAGCTACCGCGCTCTCGCACTTGTACCCACATATCTCCTTGTACATATATTCCGCCATAGCATGCGCTTTTCCAAGGCTGTAGCGGATCCACGAGCGAAATATCGAACCTCCGCACCAGCTCAACAATAGTCTTGTTGATTTCAATGAAAGCAATGCGCTGCCCCAAGCAATGGAATTTGCCATAGCCAAAGATGAGATCGTTGATCTTTTGCATCCGAGCCAACTTCTCACGCGGAGTGTTCTGCGTGAGCCACCGCTCCGGCCGAAAGACGTGTGCGTCAGCACCGTAGTGCTCCGGGTCCGTGTGCATGGCGATGGAATAAGAGATCCTGGTGCCACCTGGGAAGTACACTTCTTTGCCGGAAGGAAAGGTGAAGGTATCACCGCCATTCGGGACTTCACGCGTGAACAAGTCGGAAACTGGCGGGTGCATGCGCATGGCTTCTCGAACGACAGCTTGGAGGTAGATGAGATTCCGTGCGATGGAGTCTGGGATAATGCCGGGTTCAGAGGCGGGCCAAGCAGTGTCGATTTCGGCGCGAACTTTGGCGTAAATGCTCGGGTTCGTCATGAGGTAGAGCATGATGACACGAATGCTGCATGATGTCGTGTCCGTTCCCGCGAGAATTTGGTTAAAGCTTTCGTTGAAGAGGTCACTTGCTGTAAGACCGTTGCGTACGAAAGATGCCACCATGTCTGATTTGCCATCTGTCGGCTTCTCCAGTCTGTCATCAATGATCCGACGGGCGACACCCTTCACTTTCCCAAATCCAGTCTTGTCTTTCTCTGACGGGCCGAGTAGACTGGCCACATAGTAGTTGTCGAAGAAAGAGGTAAGACCTAGTGCGATCTTCATGAAAGTGATCCTTAGCCCAATGGCACCAGATGCAATGTAATCATGGTTATCGGCTTCGGCCTTCAGGTCGCCAAAGCTCTGTCCCAGACCTATATCACTGATGATATCGAGAGCCAGGTATTGCACTTTCATAGCAAGATCCATAGGCTTCGATATTTCTGCCGTAGACATGTACTTGGACTGGATCAATTGCAGGAGCTCCTGAACATGACCATCAATGTCAACTTCGAGACCTAGGTTTTCTTTGCCGGAAAATCCAGGAGCCATTTGCTTCCTTCGAGCATCATGTTTCGCGATATCACATTGGCTGAAAACGGTATCTTCACCAGGGTTGAATCGCATCGCCCTGTAGAACCAAGGAGATCGTGCATATGCGGTCTTTGTGTTATTGGCATGAATCCAGAAGTCCGGCGATGAAGTCAACAGATGTGATGGTCCAATACGGACAAGGTCACCTGGTGCTTCATCAGCACGTCGTCTTGTCAAGGAGTACAGATAGATGGCACACCGTACTGCTTGCTCAGCTTGACGTAGTGCTTGTCAGCCTGTAATCCCATGAGAATGGGCGTATGCCACCATTCTGTGATTGCTGCCAAGAATGGACCATTGAACTGATTCAGTTTGAAATATCTGTAGGTCAATTCCCCTACCAGTGCAGCGACTAGTGCCGCCATCCAATGCCATCGCTGCTGGGCAGCGCAAATCAGTATTGCGAACACTGTTAAAGTGGTCATCTTCTATGGTATACTGTCCGAAGAAAGTAGTTTGGAGGACGCAGTCGATCACGGTCACGAATATAAATCTGGTCTTTGGCCGGGTATGAATACACTCTTTTTGAACCCGTGAAAGACAGTTCTGGAAGGTGAGACAAGTTTCAGTATGTGCTTTACAGATTCTGCTGATAAGAGACTGGCCAAGAAGTTCAGAGGGGGCCTTTCAATGTTGTGGAGTGCACAACAATAAAGTGAATTGGAGATGCCAAACCGGACCTCGGACTAGGCTAGACCTGCACGTGATTGATATTCATTTCCAGAAGAATATGCAAGAACTCCCACCCAGTTTCATCTGCAATACAGAACAACGAAGAGTCAGGGACCACTCATATGAGAGTTTATTTGAGAGCAGCGTAGACTTTTTGAAACATCAGAGGTCACGTGTCCCGGATCTGCTAAAAAGTACAACCTTGCTTAGCCGGGTCAGCAGGCTCTCATCTCCATCTTCAGCCTCATGCACTCTCTGCTCCGACATTACCATTGCAAAAATAATCATGGAATATCCTCGTTAGCAATAGATCAATATCTACATCGTGTCTCTGAAGATTTTCTTCTTTCAATTAACGCTCAGCATCGTATCGTCTCCCACATATTGTCTTCTCCCAAATACTCAATGGACATAGCCCACCTTCTTAACCATCGCGTCTGATCAGGACGTGTCGTGACACCAACAGATAGCAGGGGCGATTTCTACTTAACAGACTCGCTTGCAGCCCGCATGAGCAGTGCCTCAGCCCCACCGTTTCAGCTTACTTATTGGATCAAGCCCCGCGAATGATTTCAGCCTCCATTTTCTTGCATCCTGCATACTGTTCTGGTTTGTACCGATGCTTTGTACTGAAATACGTGAGATTGTGTTTTTGCGCTGCACTAATGAGAAACGTCCTCACACACCCGATACACATCTCGTGCTGACATTGTCGAGAGTTGGCAATTATGCCACAAACCCAGCTCCCACGGCCAGGCTACCGAGAGTGGAGTCCGCGAAGATACGAAAGGTACGGGGACTGCGACATTTGACTTCCATGCTGATCATTGGCTGTTTAGAACAGAATCTCCAAGCCGGGAATCTGTAGGTACCGATCGCGATGACGACGAATTCGTTGATGCGGTAGAAGAGATGTCGTTGGGAACATCGCGGCAGTCTTCTTATCATGTTGACTCACCCTCGCGATATTCTTTCCAAGATCATCGTCTCAATGAACACCCTCCAGCACCATACATGTCCGGCCCGGTCGATATGTCTTACAGCGCTGAGCCTCACAGGACAGTCAATACTGATGCAAACCAGTAAGTAACGCAACAGGTGCAATCCCAAACATTGACCCTTTAAAGCAGGTCCAGTGGAAGCGCGGCCATCCCAGAGGAGCCAGTAAACCAGGATGAGAACATCTGCGAGGATTGTGAGCTTCAGCATGAGGATCTATGGTACTGCAATATATGCAAGCTTATACTTTGCTCCCCTTGCTGGGATAGACAGCTCCCACATAGACGAAACAGACGAGATCCGAATGGGATTCCACATGAACGCTCAAAACCGGAGGTTGCTGAAATGATAAATAAAGCATTGTTGCCTCCAACCGACAGTAATGTGCGAGAAGATATGTACCGTGAAGATGAATTCACGGCTTGGTTTGGTATGTTGAGGCAATGCTCACCTAAAAATGTGTAGGGATAAGTTAACATCCCTAGGTATCGATCGACCGCTGGATCAAGGGGCTCCAATCTTCCAGGATTATGGGAGATTCGCCGATCTTATGTCCAGTACAGATCCAGTCCGCAATCAACCAAGTCGTGCATTTCTTAGTCGAGGAGAACAGGCTGGTCGAGATGCCAGGACGCCAAGTTTGGTCTCATTTGTCGGCCAAACTGGCGCTGGCAAAAGCACCCTCATTAAACTACTTATTGACTTTGCTCAGTATCGCCAGAAAGCTGCAAAGTTTCCTTCCCCAGTCGTAGGGGTACCAGGAGCTCATATCCCAACATCTGAAGATGTCCATCTGTATATAGATCCTCGAACGATCGCATCGAGTGGACCACTCTTGTTCGCGGACTGTGAAGGTCTCGAGGGCGGTGAGCGTGAACCTGTCGGTGCCAAAGCTAAGAAGCGGCGGTTGTCGTTGCGAAGGAAAGCGCGCGTCGCAGAAGAGAATAGAACTACTTCTGACCAAGCACCCCCTGCCCCCAAAGCTGTCACTGAGAGAGAAATACAGTGGGCAGATGAACCTAGAGCGCGGAGTCGAGAATTCGCCGTTACTAATCTATACCCGCGGCTACTTTACACGTTTTCTGATGTTATCATCTTCGTCCTCCGTAATCCGAGGTAGGTACGAGAAATATATCACCCAGTGATCTTGCTGATATTTAGCAGAACCGTAGAGACTGTCTTTGAACGCCTGATAACCTGGGCGATGGCAGCAATCGAAACAAGTTCCAATCAGCCTATGCTTCCTCATGCCGTCATCGCACTCAATGCTTCGGAACACAACATAGCGCCAGGACTTTGGGACGTTAATGCTAACACGCAGAACATTCTTGATGATCTTGCGCCAACAGTCAATCAGAATGAAACTTTCATGAAATGGGCTCAATATTGGAGAGAACGCGGCAAAATGATTGAAACTCTCGAACATCTCGTGCTATGTTATTATAGCTCGATACAGGTGAGTTTTGTTCGTTATGTTCATTCTCTTTGTTCATATTCTCTCGCATATTATCAGGTACTAGATTCTGGGTGTAAGAACATTTTGTCTGTTGAACTATGATGTACCTGTCATCGTACCTACTACCAATGCCCGTCGTCATGTGCCCCATTTGCAGAACCCGGTATTCCAATAGTCTTGGCGGCAGTCGATACATATGACTGATTAGCCAGATCATTCGCATTCCATCAGACGGCCGCCCGCAGCTCATGCAAACACAAATCGAAAAGCTATATTCTGGCACATCAGCCGCTTGCACCGCTTCGCGCTGCGCAAGAATGGAGCTTCGAATGTTGTTCGATGTGGAAGAACTCGAGTCATTTCTTCAGGATGCCTTCAATCATTACTCCACGACACTGAACTCGCCCTTCGATTTTGTTCAGGCCTCATTTAGGAATAGTCCCATTCCGCCAGACTTTGGTGGTAACATCCTGAAGCTAGCAGTTACCTTGATGGAAATGACATGTAACAAGCTCAGCGGACCCCAGATCCTTCATGAGCTCAGCTACATGATTGCTTCCTGCATCATGATCGACTCATCAAGACATGGGAACAAAGGTAGATCTCTTGGTAGCACATTAATGTGTGTTCAGTACTGACAATTTCTCAGGAAACGCCGATCAATTGTTTCAAAACTATATGACTCATGTAGACGATGCATTGGAGAATCTATGTAATCAACATTGGCCATGCGAGTTCACACAAGGCAATACAGGCAAGCGTTGCATCAACGTGCGGAGTGGCCACAGTGCCAAGGGTCATCAGTCTTCAGATGGCCTAGTATTCGCTGCAGGAGAATACCGATCTACATTCACGTTCGAGACCTATCGCGATTATTTCCGCCATAAAATCTTCAAGTTCCTACACGAACTACTGGATGATCTCACTTCGCGAGTACGGAATGGAGATCGTGAAGACTCTGCGGCAGCTTCCATTCATCGCGACTTTGTTCTTCGAAACTTTTATCAGCGTACCGTCCAAGCCTCTGGCCACGAAGGCGGAATTGCAGCACTATGGAACAGTCATACAGCATGTTTATGCTGTCTCATTGAACACCCCGAGCACGTACTGCCCTGCGGGCACGTCCTTTGCACTTCTTGCATCAAAATGTACGGAACCTCGCTTTCTCAGACCGAATTCGAAATATACCAATGTCCCATCGAAGCTGGAGTGGTCCCAAGAAGTATGAATCGCCGAATATATCTAAAGCCAAAATCGGCCGGTGTGAGAATTTTGACGCTTGATGGGTGTGTAATTCCAGGGTATTGTTGATGTCGACTTGATGAGCTAAATGAGTACAGAGGGGGTGTTCGAGGTATCGTCGAGTTGGAGACTCTTAGACAAATCGAAAACGCTATGGGCGCTAAAATACGGATTCAAACTTTCTTCGATCTGATCATAGGAACCAGGTAATGTAGTCCCACGGCGTTCGATCATCTCTACTGACAGTTAAAGTACTGGTGGTATCGTTGCACTCGGCATCGGCGCCATGAATTGGACGGTTGAAGAATGCATTGACAAGTTTGAAAAGCTATGCGAGGTTGCATTCACTCGGCGCACGGGTAGCAATTTACCCTTGATTGGATTTCTCGTTGACAATTACCATCATTCAAAGTACGAAACAAAGTCACTTGAACAGGCCCTTACATCCGCTTTCGGCGATAGTCAATTCCTATTCGGCGGACAACAAAGGATTGAAGACAGAAGTCAGGTCTGCAAAGTAGCCGTTACTGCTACCTCATTAGCTGGAAACCGGACCTTCTTGCTCGCCAATTACAACAGGCCAATTTACAACCATATGACAGCCAAGTATCATTTCCAGCGCCCGGAACGAACAAGCCACGAACTGAAAATCTGGGAAGCAGCGCGTGCAACGTCGGCAGCACCTCGTTTTTTCAAAAGCTACCACCATGAGAAATCTCAGAAGGCGTATGTTGATGGGGCAGTGTATCATAATAACCCTGTCAAACTTGCAGACAATGAGCGCAAAATTTTATTTCCGGAGTGGGAGAATGCAGACCTCATAGTCTCCCTCGGCACGTCATTCTCCCGTCAATTACACAGAGCAGAGTCAGAGAAGATACAGGCCGCACAACGGGGTGTCGTCTCACATGGAAAGCTCATGATAAATTTGGTCAAGAATCATATGGCGACCTCATTGGATTGCCAAAATGCCTGGGAAGAGTTCTTAGCGCATCAGCCGGACTCCATTAAGTACTCGCCAAAGTTCATCCGAATCAATCCAGAATTATCCGGCTCGGTACCTGCGCTGGATGCTGTCAAAGACATGTCAGCCCTGAGAAATAATGTTCGAGTCATGCTGCAAAACGATACACGGATCAAGCAACTGGCGCTAATGCTGGTCTGTTCGTCATTCTATTTTGAATGTAAAACTGCATGTATTGCACAGGAGGGTGGGACCTTCAGGGTCGAAGGTAGTACCAGTTCAGATGCTGTCATGCATGGAACTGACTTGATAACAGGTCGAATTTGCTGCCGGCTTCCACAGCCATCAGGTGAGATGATGGAACTCGGAAGGTTTTTGAAAAGGAAGATTCTCGAAGGTAACGGTGTGACGTTCGTCATTCGCGACCTTGAACGCCATACGAAGGCCACAGGCAAGATTGAACTCACTACTGAGGTCGTAAACAGGATGATTAGCCAGGGCATCTTTCGGATGCCGGCTAGGAACAAATTAACATTAGAAAGCACTTTGTCTCAAACTGATATTTCATTATGGTTCAACGAACAGGACAAGTTTCACATAAGCGGATTTCCGCGCTCACTTTTTGACGATGCACAGAACAAGACTCGTGAGTTTGTGTAGCATGCATATGATACTCCTTTGACTGATGATTCCCAGAGTCCCGACCTTTTATCGTCTCGTCATCAACGCGATATACGCGGGGTTCAAGGAGGAAGAACAAATCGACTCAAGACTGGCAAGCTCCCAACTTGAAGACTTTTGCAAGCCAAGAGAGTCTACGACAATATCTATGGAACTCAAAAAGTTTGATTGCCGAACGTCATGCGCCGTCGAATGCATCGTCTGACTCACTTGCGCCTTCCACCGCTTCTCGCCAAGGAAGAACATCCCCAGCCAGAGCAGACGATCAGCCCGGGACCAGACGAGCTTTTCGGGCGCTGTTTTGGCCAGTTAGATCTCGCGTGCGACAAGATATGTCCAGCGAATACCCAGAAGTTTTGGGTCAGCAACAGCCATATACAGACAGCATGTCCCATGTAGATTCGAGTCTCGATGATGATGCGCGTACGACGTACCATCAATGGACCAGAGGACTCACCGGCCTTTCGTCCACGTATGGTAGAGAGCTCGATTCAAGAGGCCCTAATGCACTGTCACGTGGACCTCCTCAGGAGTTGGATGGTCAACCAGTGCCGCTTGTTGAGCTACCGGGTTGACTTTGTTAAACCTCTCTGGAACTTCGTGAAAGAGTTATCTTAGTCTATTTCCTCTTTGGATGTGGATAAGGCGGAAGAGGTGGCAGAGGAGGCTCTTTTTGCGATGGCTCCGACAGAGCTGGCTTGTCTTTCTGTCGTCGTTCCCGAGGAGGCGGAGGCTGTGGCACTCTTCCTTCTCTTGTACTTCTGAATGTATCTGGTGGAAGAGGAGGTTCTGGTGCTTGTGTTTTCCTCATGGTAAGTGGATCTGGAGGGAGAGGAGGTTCTGGCACTCGTCTTTTTCTGATCAGCTCAGATGGGTCTTGCGAGAAATGAGCCTTTGGTGCGGACTTTATATCAGGCCGGAACTGTTTTTCTTCATGCGTAAGCGGGAGGCGAGTCGAAGGTCCATCACGTTGCGCTAAAGCCTGTCGGTGCCTTTCGACAAGGCTCACCTGTGGCTTATGAGACTTCTCTGAAGATCCATACAGGAAATCATCACCGAAGGCATTCAGCTCGTCGATGAAGTCGTCGGGAAGTGGAACATTTACCGGATCAATGACTCCTTGTTCCGGGCCAAGTTCATCTGATTCGGAATCTGAGTCTGGCAGAGGTATCATTTGACCTTGAACCCAGCGATCATCCGTGTATTCCTCATCTTGCCTCCACTGTTTCAGCGCACGGATGTATACGCCCTCGTCCATCGGTATTTTGTCATTAGGTTCCATAGGACTCCATCGGTAATCTGGTGGACGATTTAGTGGCTCTGCTATCCTTCCAGCCTCTTTACAGAACGGAAAGTCGCCATATTTGTGCATGTACGCCCTCATATCCTGCAAATATTGCTTAAGAACTGGATACCAAGCGTCGCGCCCGAGATTTGATGCAAGATCGTCAGGCCAGTTCGCTGCTATGCGAAGAATACTCACAACCTCTTCCCAGTGTAGCTCTCTCACTGGTACCAATGTGGTCTTCACGGCACATACTATTGCCTCCGTACCCTCAATCTTACGAAATGTATGGTCTTCGACCCGGATGTACAGGTCGTCCGGGCCTAATCCCTTTAAGCCATCCAACTCAAAATTGAAATATAGCTCTGATGGTGCGTAGAGATGGGCTACTAAGTTTTGATCTTTATCTTTAAGGTTTCTTCGTAGCTGCACAAAGAATGTTGAACATCGCATCGCGTATCGAAAGTTATTGCTAGCCCTAGACAGGTATTAGAGGAATTCACCATTTTGGGAGCACAACCTACTCTTTGCAACTGAGAAACCGGCCAAGCCCGTCTCTCCACTGTGGCGCAAAAGGAGTTTCTTTTAATCTTCGGTCTGTTCGTGGGCTGTGAATGGCTTGAGTGTCCATATGGTCGTTCAATCTCCACCCTCCAGGACATACTGTAATCGATGCGGCCCTGCATCAAGTCAGTTCCAAGCTCCAGATTTATGCCAGTATCCAGTCCACATACCATTCATAATAGTCTCCAGCACGATCCTCTTCCTCCTCTTTCATCCCATCGAGTTTCGTCAGCATCCTCGGACACCTCAGCAGCACATTGAAATCCTCCACCGCCACCCGGCCCACGCCCATCAAGCTACTCTCCAACGCGTCCTCCCTCCCCGCCGTCCCGTCAAACGCACCTCTCCACAACATCTTCTCCTTCCAAAACTCCTGGCCCCTAGCCCTATACTCATCCGCCTTCCCTCGCACCTTCTCCCGCCAATAATCACAAGGCGCCGCATCAATCAGATAATGCGTCACCATGCGATGCATCGCCACACACGCATCCTCAACCTGCGCCATGCGCTTCTCGTCGTTGAACTGCTTGTACCGCACAATCTCGCTTAGCTTGGCGTGCATGATCACGTTGCGCGCATACGAGGTCTCGAAGTGGTCCTTGTCCACCGTCAGCCAGGGCGTGCTGTATGGGTCGAAGCGCTGTGGCTTCATCAGGAATGTGTGCGGGGCCCGTTTGAGGCATTTGTGCGGGCAGGCAGGGCGGAGATTAGCGAGCGGGTCGCCTGGGGGTGGCTTCGGCGGCTTTGGGGTCCTGTGGAGTGGGAATGTACGTTTGGGGGGCTTGGATGGGGGGTTTGGGGCTTGGGATGCTTGGGCGTAGGCTGCTGGGGTGGCGTGGTGGGAGGGGGTGAATATGGGTGGTAGAGGGGATGGTGGGAGAGGGGGCATGGGCTTGGGGATTGATGGGGCGTCAGGCTGCTGAAGGGTTCTTGGATCATGTGGATGGACGTTGTGACGTGGCTCGATGATGCGGCGCTTGTGGCGAGTGGATTGTGAGGGCCATTCTGACTGTTCTGGTTCTGCTGGGTCTTGGGTGTCAGTTGCGTGGCGCTTCGGGGGTCGAGGTGTGGTGTGCTTGTTTGGCTGTGCGGGATCAGGGATAGGAATAGGTTGATGCTGTCGAGCGTGGGCAATTTGCGGCGTCGTCTCGACGGACCATGGGTTGGATGTGTCTAGGAGGTTGAGGTAGTCATTCGCTGCAGACTTTCCTGTAGGGGGGATGAAGTTGTTTGTCGGAGGCACAGAGGTCTGAATATTAGCAGCACGTGTTTTGGGGGATATTATGTTCTGAGAGTTCGTAGAAGGTGGTGGTGGTCTCATCATATACTCTTCGGCGGGAGGATTTAGGTTTGCTTCGTTGCTCGCAGCTTTATGTGGAGAGGGTGCATTACTCTTTTCTTTGTGATGTTCAATAGTTGGGACTTTTGGACCGGTCCATCCATCTATCAAAGACGATGCGCCGGGTATGACATAGTACGTCTCTGCGTCAGAACAAGACTCCTTTACTGTCTGTGATTGAGACACGGCTGGCTTGGTGATATCCCGGCTTCTACTCGCGCTCGATTCAGCGCCGTGTGGTAGACCGACTTGTTCTGGACTTGATGTAACGACTTGGTCCTTCGATCTGGTGGGTAGCTCATCCCAAGGGAGCCTGTAGGTAGCTTTTCCTTTCATTTTGCCATGGAAAGATTCCGTAGCGAAATCTCTCGTATCGAGAGTCTTGTCTTGATCGGCGGTATCGTCATCACTGTCACCTCCTAGAGCTCCACGCACAACATCTCTCAACATCCTACCACCCTCCCTCTGCACCCCCTTTCCTTGCTCATACCTAGGCCCATGATCCAGCGTTGCTTCCCTCGACGAAGCAGGCGTGAATTGCGTAACCCCGTCCTCATCACCATCCTCTTCCACCAACTCCTCATATATACCACTCATGCCACCCCTTCCACTCCCACCCCAACGCTCTTCATACGGCTCCGGCGACCGCGTATATCGCCTTTCGTCATCCAACACAGTCGCACGCAGTCCCGTGAGCCCAAACTCCTCGTCCAGCTCAGGATGCTCCAACGAATCGTCATCATCACTGCGCCCCGTGACCGGTGGCGTCCTCAAGGCTCTGGACCGCTCGTCCTCGTTGAAGGTTTCATAGTCATCTAGACTATCGTCAGAAAGGGCCTGTCTGAGTGCTGCGCTAGCGTTCAGCATTGAGAATGCGGGCTCTTGTGCGCTGCTAGCATCGTGCTCTGTAGTCGCAGAGGGGTCGGGATCGTAGGTTATGCGGAGGTTTATGTCGTCGACATAGTTACTGGTATTGTCTTCTTCTTCACCTTCATCGTCGCCGTCGGCGTCAAAGTAGTAGGATAGGTCGTCGTACGTGCCAAGGTCACTGCCGGCTGAGTGGTTGTCGGAGGAAGATGGACAGGGGTCGTCGGCGGGGGTTTCGGATCTCATGGCTTGCGAGGGTTTGACTGGAGAGGATGATTCCGACGGGAAGCAGGGAGCAAGGATGAAGAAGGATAAAAGAGAATCCTGTCGTTGTGTCGGGGCGTTGCCTGTGCATGTTATATCCCGAGTTCATGGCAGATTGGCTACTACATTGTATACGCCTGCTTTGTCTCCATGCCGCGCGCGTTTGATTCTTCGTCTAAACATTGATTTATGGTGGAGATATGACAAAGGACTTGCGCATGGGAGTATCAGATTTAGGTATTAAACAATGCCGCACCGGACGTATAGTACACTTTGTATCTATGACTATGATTCCCCGTAAAAAGACGACCTCTCCTCTATCGTAGGCAACAACCTCCGTGTCGTCTCCTGCGATCTCTTCGGAAGCCTCCCTACACCATAACAGTCAGCACTCTATCCTTTCTGTACGATGCTAGTAACACTTACCATTTTCCACAACCGGCCCTTCGCTCCGCAGCGCCACCAGTCCAGAGTCTTCCATCCCTTCCACGCCATACCACTCGTCAAACGGCTTCTCGGCCACCGCTGGCTTTGGTGTCATCTGCGGATAGTAATTTGGGAGCCACGAGTCCTCGTGGATCTGTGAAGACGACGCCTGTGGCACGTGCGCGTACGGATTCTCCGTCTGCAAGATCTCAGCGGCGCGGTCTTTCCCGCGTTTCGAATTGGCGGCGCGAGGCAAGTCTGATAGCTGGTTGCTGCCGTAAATATCGATGTATTGCGGTGGTGTCGCGTGAGTCGGGTATATTGTGGTGCTGCCGCGGGGATTATGTGTTGAGGTGTGCTCGAACGCGGCTGCATTTCTTGTAGGGAGCGGATTCTCGACGTGTCTAAATGCTGTCGTGGTAGGTAGTGCTGCGTGTTGCTCTCGCTGTCGTGCTGCAAGAATTGTGGCGTCGTAGTTCTTGTGGTGTATTTTTCGGGGGGAAATCCACCTGAGTAAAACGTAGCCGAAGAAGAGAATGTTGAATAGGAGAGTGATGCCGTTGATTATGGTGGGCACGGTAAAGTGGCCTTGGCCGAAGATCATGTTTTGTAGATATAGGCTTGGTTGTGACAATGTAGACAGAGAAACGGAGAGAAGTTTTCGATATGTGTGAAAATGTAATAGACAAATTGAAACGTTCGAAAGAAGTGACAGAGAAGTGCGGCGCTGGCAGAATTATGAAGTCATGAACAATTGAGTTTCAAGGATTTGTTGATATTCTGTGATAGCAACCCACCACACTCGACCCACTGAACAGCGCGTTACGTATCGTCGTCAAGACTATACATGTAAAGCATTGTGAAGACATTGTCATACTAACAATGTTTAGCCGATGCTGGTTGGACACCACCGTGAACGACAGGTCCTTTCTTCTTACCCTCCAGACAGACTGTAGCTCTGAGTTCCAGAGTCGGTTTCGAAGTGGCCTCGATCCCGTCAACCTCGGGATATGATCAAGAGATAGATGTATTCTGCTCCACCGCATCGTCTATAATCACTCTCACCATCCTAATGATCTCAAGCTCGACCTTCTCACACTCTGCCGACCACTTCATCCTAACATTATGGATGAGGTGGAGACTTGCATCATGCCGATGACGACAGGCTATTGTGTTTGAGACAGCGTGTTTTGGTAGCAAAAGAAGATCATGGATATTCGGTAATGAAGTAGGCTCTCGGGCTCTTTTCGAATGCAAGTACTTGTTCTCAACGCCCTTTGATAGCACGCACACCCAGCAGTCGCTTCATAGAATTCATCTTGGCTCGCTCACATACAATGTAGCTGTGTAGTATGCCAACCAAGACAGGCAGCGTGACCTGGTTGAGCCATGCTATTCGACATTTTTTCAGCGGGTGGCGGAGTCATGCAAACATGTCGAGACATGTCGTGGAAGAACACTGTTTGTACAGTGTGGGTCGAAGCAAGCTACAGGTTCACTGGTCGTAGAACGACTAGGACCAATCGTGGACTGGATATGTGATTGTATTGATCAATATGGGTATCTCAAGAATTTTGCCGGCCTAGTTTCTCACCCGCCAAAGGATTTTGCCAGGTGACAGACAGTGTTGGCGGGTCATATTACGTGCAGGTGGCGTAAGGCGGCTAGAACGATGATAACATGATGTGATCTGAACGTATCCTTCACTTCTTGTCCCATCTCCTCCACCATGTCTCCATCTCGTTGTGCTTTACTTTCCACATCTGCCTCAGCTCTTTTGGACCCGCTGTCCAGAACTTCTCGTGTAAACTCTTGACCTCTCCTTGGACATCTTTTTGGTTCGGCCACGTCGCACTCCACTTGTAATCCAGCTCGCGCCATGGCATCGGCCCCTCTCGTCGAAAGGCATAGTTCAGGAGGCTCTGCTCCATCGTCTCGGGATCGAAGCGATGATAGTGCTGCATGACACTCATAAGATATGCGTATAACTCTTTACTCGGCGCGACCAGCCAGAAGCCAGCGCTGAAATTCGGTGTTTGGAGTGGTGGAAACGGGTGCGCACGTTCACCCGTGAACGCATTGTCGGACCGTGCACCGAACAGATACTGCGCAGGGAGCTGTGCTTCATCTGCCTTAGGCTTGCGCGATGGAGTGTGCAGAGTATCGACAGGCTGGTGAGCTTCCGGCTCCTGAAATATGCCATCAAGCGGCCGCGTGAGCAGTGTGTCTGCGTCGACAAAGAGGATGCGGTCGTATTGTGTCCATTCCAGCACACGTAGCTTCGTGAACTGGTCGGCCCAGCGCGTCACGTATGTGCGCACCCACCACGCTGTTGGGACATCCTCGACCTCTACAACTTGCGCGCCGTCTTTTTCAAGGCGCGCACGTTTCTCTTGGTCCACTCTTGCACTGACGAGAACGATGAATGGGATGCTTGAGTTGCGCCGCTTTGTGTCATTGTCGTGGAGGAGCTGGTATGATAGCACTCGCGCTGCTTCGAAGTACCAATCGCGCTCGTCGGGTTTCTTTTGTAGACCACCCGTAAGATAGGTCACAATCGCAAATTTGGAGTCTTGGTCGATTGCGCTCAGCTTCCCATAGTTGGGATCCAGCGGGGGTGCGGAGCGGAAGGCAGAGGACCGAGTCCACGACAGGATGCAGAAGGTGATGACCAGGAAGATGGCCACAATGGCGGACCGTCGTCGGTCTATTGAGATCATAATGGTAGACGATTTTGTCGCGGAGCCATTGGGCGCGAAGTAGAAGCTTGAACTTGAGATCGAAGCTCACAGCGGAGTGAGTGGATTAGTAGTTACCTTAAGCGGTCGCGTGCATCCATCAATCCCGCGCCCCGGGATGTGGCTTGGCCAGAAAGGGGCAGAATTGATTGCTTAATTCCTGTTGCTCTGAATGGTTCGGTAAACCCCGCATCATATAACCGCCACTACATTCATGTCATTGCTGAGGTAGAGGTAAAATAGTAGAATAATATTCACAAGAAGCACGAGCCAGAAAAAATCAACCCAGGAGGCGGAGACAAAGCTGTAATCACCCTCAAATGTAGCCGGGTTGGAGTGCACATATACCGAACTCGAGCCATATGTCATTCCCCAGTTTGAGATCCTCAAAGCATTGAATGAAGTCTTAGACTCTATCCTGGCCGGTCCAGAGCATGATGCTATTAGCCCGAGCCCTGACCAAAAGCGCACACTGCCCACAAGTCTCACTTCGCCTCCAACAGTCCAACCTTCTCCCATGTCCTCGCATCCTCAGACCTCCCGTCCTCTCTTAACGCATCAACCAGTTTGTCCAAAATGTGCATCGTGGTCGGCGCCTGACCCCATACCCGGAGTGCAATCCCGACCGCTCGTTTCAACCAGACGATGCCCTCGCCACTATCCCCCATCTTCTCATACAACTCCGCCACATCCTCCATCCCATGCGCTGCAATCCCATCAGTGAAGTACTCGACTTCTCCAGAAACAACATCACCGCCAGCGGCTTCGTCTCTTCGCGAGCCTGGTCCCGGACATCGTATAACTCGCTGACATTCATGTAGCGCATGTGTGTACTGTCCAGCAGCCATATAAGCATGCACCAGCTCACTCGCCGCAGCCCGCGTCTTCTCATCGTATGGCCCGAAATCAACGCTGGCTAATGCGACCACATCGCGTGCTTGCACAACGGCCTTGGTAACATTGCCTTCACGTCTACTCCACTTCGCCTGTGCGGAACTCAGCCTATGGCGAACGGTGGGAACTGAACATATACGGTGCGAGCCTAGGAGTGAGGCCATGTATGTAAATGCACGCGCTGAGAGTTCGAGCGAGTGATCATCGGCGGCAAGCGCGGTGCATAGAGCAGCCAAGGGGTGCATAGGTGCGAGGGTAGTACTGGCCATGGAGGAGAGGAAGGACAGGATGTTGGCACGTAGGGGCAAACAGATCCGAGTGTTGAAGGGCGAAAGACGCAGGAGTAATTGAAGAGGAAAGTCGAATGGGATAGAGGAGAGGGCTTTAGAGGCATTTGCGCAAGCAGATTGGATGGCTGCGAAGGCGCGTGAAGGTGTCTTGGTGCATAATGGCTTGCTGGCTGCGTATTTAAGGAGGTAGATGCCGGTGTTGATATCGAACCAAAATGGGCGGGAAGCAGCCGTGGTGTAATGGCTCTGGATGTCGTCTTGCTTAGAGAATTCGTGAGAGTAAAATTGATGTATGCTCCCCAGTATGATATTGAGCTGTTGTAGCTCGCGAGGAGTGGCTATTTGTGGTGGTAGTCCGCCAGCCTGGTCGACAACTTGTGAAACACATATTAGATTACTAAACGGTCCGCAACTTGTCGTTGACCCGATTAAGGAGATTGGTCGAGAATCACTTGAACCCATATATCCATAACCTGGAAAGTGTTCCGCTGTTGGTGAGTGAGAGCTAAATGACTCCCTGACGTGTGTGTGGTGAGCTCTAACAGACTGCCCATCTGTAGGAGTCAATGGCTCCTCTTTCATAACAGGCGTCCCAATCGAGTCCACACGGTCAGCATTGCGGTTCAGGGCGGTTGTATGACTCCAGGTAGTCTCTATGTCAGAGGACGGGCTGCTTGAATTGGTCCTCTGGCAAGAGACGCAGCGGCCGTTGCGAGTAGTACGCTTTGATGGAGCAAAATGGTGCTCAGGCAGCGAACTTCGATACGAGTTGTCGGTTATGGTACTTTTTGGCAGAAGCTGTCCAGTTTGTCGATATCTCTTTTCTGGTCCTCGTGATTTCGTGACTCGAGACTTTCTGGCTTTGGGGGGATTTGGTGACCCATGGGTTACGGGTTGCCTGACGGCTTGTTTCGTCTTAAAGACTTGCCAACGTCGGAACCTGCTGTCGTACATCCGCTTACTGGATATAATCAGTAATGGGTACATGTAGATGGGATCTTCCCACCTTGCATTGAAGCTGTGGTGACGCTTCATAAAATCACTTAGATCCTTCAACGACATCTTGTGGTACAATTGGGTAATCGTTTCTCTATGCGACTCCCATTGCTCAGCAGAAGGCCCTTGCGTATACTTCAGTTCAGAAACCGACATGATGGTTGGTTGCATCAGTGGTCGAGATCCTGCAATTTGCGCGAGATCCTTTTAGGGTATTCTTGCAACAGGGTGAGGCTGTATCGGGGCATCGCCTTGCCAAGAATCTACAGTGCGAGATGAATACACCGTCTTGCACGTCTGAACTGGGTAAAGGCGAGAATTCTAGGTGGCTTAGGTTGTAGATATACCCGTAAAGATTTGTTCTGCCCTATGGGGCTGTAGATGGTCTCCCAGCCGCACGAGACGATACCCTTAACGGTGTAGTGCTTAGTGGTACGTCAGCAACTGGCAAGGAAGACCCTGACAGGCAGCTAGGATCATACTGCCGGCAAACGAGCTGTAATAGGAGGAAGATATATGCCTTGCTGTAATAGACGAGTGCATGTCAATACTATCTTGCTTGCTGCTCTTAAGCTGAGGTCCAACTCCATAAAGCAAAACTATATTTATTCAATATATAGGAAAAACAATAGTACACAAAAGAATTCATCAGACGAAACAGTCGATCTTTAAAGAACTCAGGAAAGACCTGTCACGGCTGAGCTTGGTAGCATCGGCATAGATGGTAGTTAAAGAAAGGAGACTGGGAGTGGAGTTAGCACACTCTGGTAAGTAATGATAGACAAGACGCTAGTTCTCATCTGGACTAGCTCACTCACGCCGAGAGAGCTGAGAAAACACACGCCGTTCCCAGGACTGGAAGTGATTCCAACAACTGCACCATCTTGTAGGAGGAATACGACTCTCCGCCGGCCAGCATGGAGTTAAGTAAGAAGCCGAGTAATGACGCGGAGCGCTTCAGGTAGAATTGCTCCTCGATCGTGATACTGCTGAATTCCTGCTCGACGTACAGCAGGCTGCCGAACAGTACCAAATTGCTTCCTAGGCCGAATGAGCCCTACCAGCCAGCAAGTGTCAGCTTCGAGCAGTCGAATAAATACCATATCAAGGCTGATGAATGCTACTTACGATGGCGAGTGATGCCCACGAAACGTTTGAACCCATCGCATGTTTATCGGTAGCGAAAACATAGTAACCAAAGGCGATGAAGCTGGCCAGAACCAGCACTAAATGTGTAATTACACAGCAACAGTGCGTTATGATCCAGTTGGAGTCTCGAAACGATGCCATCTGGAGATTGCGCTGTTTCCAGAGAGTGGAAGAAGAAGAAGAAGCTAATCAATCGATACGAAGGCTATTTAACCGAGATAGAGAATCTACTGACAGCAGAGAATGGCCTACAGTTTTCACTTAAATTCGGGTTCAATTCTATTTTGGCCGAGTGCTAGATCCTTCCTACGGCTCCTGCCTTCCGACTGCGAACTGTTATGAATCTCTGGATGGCATCACAACTATCCGAAACCCGCGGCTCCCCAGGCCACCCACTCCTTGATTACCTCATCTTCTACTGAACAGTGTATTTCTAGATCGTCTCACTTGTCTATGGCTTAGAATTGACGTCCTAATGACTCATGTTGGCAGGCACGATCTCCAATCTCAAGGCTGAGTAGAGCAGCTTCGCCACCCCACGCTAATTCCAGCTCGATGACCTGAAGGAACCGCTACATACCTTACGGACAAGAGATCTGGATCTGGATCTTCTTTTACTCCACTCCAATACGATGAAGATTTGAGACCTTCATTTCAGATGATCCTCGCCGGCCGTACTCGCTCGTGCTTTCCGGAACGCCACATATTATCAACCGTTGAACGCCAGAATGTGGCTTGAGCTGATGTTAGCCCATCTTGTCTGATTCACTCGTCATGGTTTCGGTATACGGAGGCGGCGTAACCGCGTATAGCGATGGTAGAAAGAGTCCGCGAAATCTTCCTCGTTCCAGGACCTGAAGAGCCTGATCGACCTTCTCAAAATGTGTTCAGAATCACTTACCCTGAGGCATACCACACCGGAAGCTCAAGCCATCATCGACTACTGTAAAATCACCACAAACCAGGCCTGCCAACTCATGTGCCGAGGCTGTGAAGAGATTCAGGCACTTCTGGTTAGAAAGAGGAAGTGCAAAGAGGTCCACCCAAGGCGCCAGGAGGCCTTGAAAATTCATGAGAATTTTGCCCAGCTTGAGCATTGTGCCAGAAAGTGCGTTGCATGCCAAGTTCTTCGTCGTGCTTTGCTCCTAAGACAAATCACGAAGCGAAATGCCGACATATTGAGAGCCTCCAAAATGGCAGTCTACGCCCGTTACAGCGAGCTCGGGCTGCTCATCAACGTCGGTTCAACGAGCGCTGAGGTTGTTTGTAGCACCATGAACTCACTATCAACTCGGGTAGACCGACATCCATCTGGCTTGACTCCAGCTTTCGAAGTCATGAAGCAGTGGGTCGACGATTGCCACACAACACATTCTTGCTCGAACTTTCGCAGATCTACAAATAACCCTTCATACCTCTTGCAGATTCTCTCTGGGAACAGAGCTAGAGTCGTTAAAGGTCCTGAGCATTCAGTGAAATACATTGTACTCAGTTATTCATGGTCAGATACTTACTTATTTCCTCTACTTACGTGGCTAATGACGTGTTTCAGGGGCAATCCAGAATCGCCCACTATGAGTCGCGAAGATTGGAAGGTGATCAAAGGCGCAGCCACGAAACGACTTGAGAACGGTCATATAGTTCCGGAGAGGAGTAATCCTTTCTCTCGATCTGAGCTTCCCAAAACAATGCAAGATGCGATATATCTTGCCGAGAAATTTAATATTACGTATATCTGGATAGATAGCGTTTGTATACCGAAAGGGTCTAACTGGGATGCTGAAGCGGTGAGAATGCACGAAGTATATGGAAATGCGCATTTCACCTTATGCGCCAGCTCCAGCCGCAAGGCCACCGACAGGATGATCGTTGATAGAGATGCTTGGATCTATCCTATGAGAGGCTGCAGGATCGACAATCAGTGGTTATCCACGACTTCGAATCATCTGAATGACGTTCGAATGAATTCCCCGACCGCCGATCGAGGTTGGATATTACAAGAGGAACGGTTGTCACCAAGGATCCTTTACTGGACTGGACAAGAAGCATACTGGTCATGCTCAGAGTCCCAGCTGATCGAGCCATGTCAAACTACTCGGTCTGATACGCGAAATATCCAGCAATGGAGTCCCGCCTACAAGTTTCTGCAATTGTGTCGCCAGGGAGACATCCATGGCTTGCAAAATGAATGGGTAGACCTGGTCGAATCATACACTCGGAAGGACTTGGCACAGGGCAAAGATCGATTTTTAGCACTGGCTGGCTTGGCCACGTGCTATTTTGAAGCCATATCAAACCCCGGATTCGTCTTTCCGGAGGAATACCTAGCTGGACTATGGCGCACAGATTTGGGAAGACAGTTGACCTGGTCAGTCTCGGCAGCAGTACCATATGACAAAAATCTTCTTAGCATCGCTCCATCATGGTCGTGGGCTTCTCTCCCATTGCGAACTAAAACGCGAATGCGACATCCTTTCACGATGGCAACTCGATTCAAGGTTATGCAGGATATACAGCCCTATGATGATCGAACGTTGAATGTTGTAGTCACACGAGGTGCTTATATCAAGAGCGTGGAAGTGAGCGGCCGGCTGAGACCTTTTCTTACACCAGCAGCTAAACACGTTACTTGGCAGTCTATCATACGGATGTATGCTGGGGAAGAGAAGTTCACTTTTGCTGCGGCACCCGAGCAGTCCGTCTACGCGAGGAATCAACAAAGCGGACAAATTCTTTTTTATGAAGCTTGGAAAGAAGAGATTGTCGGCCAACTCGACTATGTGCCATCCTTATGTGGAAGCCAAGCACCACCACACCATCTATATGCGTTCGTGGACGAAGGTGCCGAGACAGAGCTCTTTTGTCTTGAAGTCGGTACGAACGCTATGCTGCTCCTGAGGAAAATACAACCGGAAACGGTAGGTCTTAACCGCTATATACGTGTTGGTGTGTCAATTGGCTACCGCAGTAGTTTCTTCAACGGCTGCCAGGAGCAGCATGTGTTGCTATGCTAAGACAAGCCTTATCAAGACATAAAATGGTCCGCCACTGGTTTTAGCATCCGTTTAACAACCCACGACAATTACTACAGACGTCGACGGATCCATCACCATGGCTCCGCTACATCAAACTAATATGTATCGTTGCCTTGGATGGCATAGGGCACATTAGATCGTACTTCCGTTAGTCGAGCATCTTGTGTGCTTCATGGCAACAATTACTTTTCTAGACAATGATACGGCCGCTTATAAGAGTGCTCAAGGATCCAATGTACTATTCTACACTGTCTCGACTTGAGATTAAGCACGCACACACGTATGTAAATATATATTGATATCTTCTCGTCGTGGTATAATACCCACTTTCAATCCTAAATCACAACACCCACCCAGCCCACAACATTTCCCACCGCCACCACATACAAGAAGACTACACCCACTATCTTTGCCCCTTCTATGTCATTTGTATTCGGCCCACGCACAGCCTCTCAACCCCCAACTGGGCAACTTCACCACGCACTCTCTATCCGCCAAGAATCCCGAACTCGTAGCTTTTTCCTAATGCACGCAAGCGGGCCAAGAACCAGGCCGGCGACATGCTGACGTGAGCAAGTCTGTTTGATCACAGCACCAAAACGGAATCATAGCCACTGCCACGCAAAACGCTGACGTACCTTGAGGTCCTTGATGAGGCTTTGTGCTTACACGGAATCCGCGGGCTGTTCCAGGTAGGTGCAGTGAGGCGGGCGGGAGTGGCACTTTATGGTGATGCAGCTGAAGACTTGTGTTTTAGACTGCAATGCTATACGACGTTGTGATACGGTGGGAAATGCTATCGTGGGCTTATATCAGCGAATATCAGTGGAGGGGAGTACAGGCAGCAGCTTTGGGCAGATGTGAGCGGAGGAAGAGGAGGAGCCTATTTAGAGCACCATGTCAGACTCAAGACGTCTCATGACACATTACGTATGTATGCTAGTATAATATGCAGCGCTATATGCTCGTCATAACCACATGATCGCTCGTTGACTCCTTTCAAATCCATGCACAAGCTTACTAATACCACCCATGATCTATCCTGAGGTTTTCGCAAACAAGAAATCAACTCTGGAGTCAGGCTCCTTCAGCATATCCATCAGCACCTTGTCATTAATCAGCTCTTCCTTGACCTCCGCCTCCTCTTCGCAATCCGTCTTCTCGGGGTTATCTTCGTCCTCAAGGGTTTTGAGGAGATGCTTCACCTCTATATGCAGGTACTTCATCAGTGCGCGAACGTTTGTACCTGGCTTTTCGCGCTTGGCCATTCGTGCGCAGGCTTCTTCTTTGATGCGTCGCTCTTGTTCTTCTATGTTGACTTGAGATGCCTTCATCAGGAGAGCAGGAACGTCTGGGAGGCTGCTGTCTGATTGATTGTCATCTGCGTCACCATCGTTGATCACAAGTTTATTGTCGACCCCATCCTCTTCAAGGATGCTACTCAACGAGTCGTCGTCGCTGGTTAGAGCGTCAAGATTGCCGCGGCCACCACATTCGCAGTTGAGAAGTGTGTGCGTCTGGCATTCTTCCCGCTCGTCAAGAGTGAATAATTTCCGTAACTCCTCTTTCGAGAAAGTAGCCATGCTGGACTTGTTGTCGACGATAGCATCAGCCAAACCTTGTTTCATGAGTTGGCGCTGGTAGATCTTCTCGTCGAGGGCCCCCTTGACAAGCAATCTATAGATCCTACATGGTCTCTTCTGGCCATCTCTATGAATACGTGCCATGGCCTGCAAGTCTGTGGCAGGATTCCAGTCTACATCATATAGCACCAACCGGCTGGCACCTATGAGATTCAGACCCGCACCACCAGATTTAGCAGACAATAGGAACGCGAAACAAACATTAGCTGGTGAATTATTGAATTGATCAACGATACCCTGCCGTTTCCCGGTTGGTGTCGAACCGTCCAGACGAGTGAAAGGATACTCATTTGATGTAAGCAGTCGGCCAAGTATATCGAGTGTCGAAGTATAGTTTGAGACAAGGATGACCTTCTCATTCGTTGTCGTCCTCAAACGATGCAGAAAAGAGTCAAGGACCCTAATCTTCGCGCTAACGGATGGACCAAGATTTTGTGAGGGGATCGTTGTTAGAAGCGAAGCTATCATCTCGCTTGGTTTGGTATCGTCATCGTTCTTACTCTGGAGTAGAGATGGGCTATTGCAAACTTTCTTGAGAATATTGATGAGCTGAAGTGCCAACTCATTGCTACCCAGAGCAGCGCCAAAGACAGGTGAAGACACGATGCTGCGATAGACGGCAGCTTGTGCTGCAGTCGGCCGACAGAAAAGTACGTATTCCGTCTTCGGTGGGAGATATTTGGACAAGATATCAGCTGTCCTACGCAATATGAACTGCCCTGTCAGGTCCATAAGCTCTTTACTCCTACCCTCCCCCTTCTCGAGATCCTTGTCTGTCGCCTCTGGTTGCCTGCTCTTCACGATTGGGTTCTCAAATTCCTTCTTGAATGTGGAATACTTACCGAGCAGACCTGGATTTACAAGGTCCACCATTACAAAGAACTCAGTCAAGTCATTCTGCACGGGTGTACCGGATAGGATTACACGTCTTTCGGTGTTGAGCATCTTGATCGCTTCCGCAGACTTGTTCTTAGCAGTCTTCAGCCGGTGCCCTTCATCAGCAATGACAATGTCGATAGAACCCTTCTTCAGTTCGTCGATGACGGATCTGAGCTTTTCGTACCCGATGACCATGACCTGGTATGCTCTGCTTTTGGTGAAATCGGTGACGCGAAACTTGCCTTCAGCTACGAAGACTCCTATCCGTTCAAGACCAAGCCATTTTCGGAATTCTTTGCGCCAGTTAGTGATGAGGGTGACAGGACAGACAATCAAAGCCTTTCTGATGACTGGTTGGTCATCATACACTGGATTTTGCTTCAAAAGTGTCCATAGCAACGCAATAGTCTGCAACGTCTTCCCCAGCCCCATCTCATCGGCTAAAACAGCACCCTCTCCTCCATGAGAGCGCATGCCCATCACACACTCGTATAGGAAAGAAACACCTTGCCTCTGATGATCGCGAAGGTTTCTGCATAATAACGGATCTACCACGACGTCTACAATCTGCTTGCCTTTGGGTATGATCGATGGCCTCTTCATAACCAGAGCGCCCGGCTGCTTTGGATCATGACGAGGGACCGGGACAGAAATGCTTGATAACTGCGGCATAGAAGTTTTGTCCAGTAGGGGATTCTTAAACTGCGTCCTTGTCGCCTTGCTTGTAGGTGCTGCTGAATTGACGTTGTCCACCTGTTTGGCTTCGATCTTCTCTTGCCTCGTCTGCGATTTGACACTGAGCTTCTTCTCCGGCGGCATGTATGGCTTCGTGGCCGCCGTAGGCACGGATTTCGCGGAGCTCTGAAGAAAGGGTCTTCCTGCCAGGAAGTCCGCCTTGGTGATAATTGAGTCTATCTCAACATCTTTGCCACCTACAGACAGGGTCGAACCCAGAAGAAGGGGTTTGGTGCACGATGTCTTTCCAAGCTCTTTCCCTGAAATGTCTTGAAGGCGTGCAAAACCACCGCATACCACCAGGATCCCGTCGCCATCCCATGTCTTGTGCTTCTTTGCTGTAATCTTCCGCCAGAGAACATTGTAGTAGCCTTCAAAGCCACCTACAATTGGGGACTGGGAGCTTTCAGACGCAGTAGGATTCTGGACCGTTACCAATGGCTTGCGAAATGTCTTGACGGGTACTGTTGGTCGAGGAGCTGGCAGGGATTGCGGAGCTAAATCTATTGAATCTTCTTGTAAGACGCGCCTCTTCTTTTTAGGAGGCTCATGACGCGTAAGGTCAGAGGGAGAATCGAAACGGCGTATGAATGAGGGGGCCTTGAATGGTTTGCCAGTCATCATACGTGAGCGTTTGGAAAGGCGGACTTAGTGGGACTTCACCATCTTTGTAATTACAGCCCTATGAGCATGACGCAGTAGTCGCGTCGCGCTGAACTACGCTATTCTCCATTCGGTAGCGTGTTTTGAAATTCTTGGCAAATTTCAAGGCCTACTAGGAGCATGAAACACATTTAGCAGCAATGAATGCATAACAAGCACAAAACTAAAACGAGAGCGTATTCATTCTCGAAAGTATAGCTTTTAGGGTATAAATTTGAACTCCAGATTCTCCTGGAACGTGGCTATCTCCCCGCATTGCCCCTCTTCCCTCCCCTTTTCTGCCTATCCACATGCCCCTTCAGCGTCCGCCTGACGTCCGTGAGACTTCTCTTTTGCTTCCCCTTTGCTTTACCTAGGGTCATAAAGAAGTTCTTTGCCCGCGCTTTCTCCTTGTTGGTCGTGCTCTTGCCCTCGGAGATCTTTTTCTCTTTGTGCCTTGCTGACTTGCTCAAATGTTTCTCTTCGCGATCGGCCTTCGCCATTGCAATTTTCTCCTCCTTAGTACGTTTAGCTGACAATGTTGCCAAACCTTCAAGGTCGGCGGCAGTGAGTGGATCGTCAGCGTGTTTCTCTTCACGCTTCTGCTGTATCTTCTTTTGCCGCATAAGGGAGGACACACCAGACTGCATGCGGAGCTCCTGAAGCTTTACAAGATCCGCAGGAGTAAGTATTCGTGTTGTCGCAAGATTTTGAGCCTTCTCTTTAGCTGACAGCTCCGTGGAGACTCCATTTTCTTTAATGGCTTCTTGAGTGGCCATAATGGTTTTCATCTTCTTCGCTGGTGGCTTTTCATCGTCACTGTCGCTGACCTGAATATCCTCACCATCGCTGTGCACGTCGATCCAGCCCTCGGAACTTTCGCTTGTATCTGATTCTGCGTCCCAGTCCTTCCAGCCTTCCTCTTCAGAGTCGCCTTCCTTATCGTCAACCCCGCCATTTGCCTCGAGGCGCTTTTGTCGTTCTTCTTCTTTCCAGGCTTCTAGAAGTTCTAGACCTTCGATGCCACCTCCTTCCACCTCACCAAATCGCTTTTCCTTCCTCTCGCCTGATATGATCTTCACAGTCGCTTCCTTGCCACGATCCCTCTTCTTCAGCATATCAGCACCGACTTCACGATACAGGCTCAAAAGACCTTTTGCAGCCATCATGACTCCCTTGTCTTTACTCTTCCTATACATGACAAGGTCTTGAAGTAAAGTGTCAGACATCGCTAGAGGCTGTCTTGCGCATATCTCTCGAATTGCGTTGAGACCGGCCGAGGCAACTTCAGTTGCTGCAGCTTCTGAAACAAACTCGTTTGCGATCTTTTGAACAAGTGGCTCTAGAACATCTGGGGGTACGAGACTATGTGTGGCTTGTGCGAGAGAGGCAAGAAACGATGTCACTGATTCTTGTCGTGGAGAGAGATATCTAGACGGTTGTTAGAATGGGCTACAAGAGCTTTAGAGTTGTGTCATACTTAATGAAGTACGAGTACAGTTGAATCACTGTCAGTTTGTGAAGACCGACCAGGCGCGAAACCAGCTGCAGCACGAGCAGTTTCTGATCAAGCTTGAGCTTCGAATACTTGTTTTGAAGGTGTTTCTGAAACAATGTTTCGGCAAAACCTTGAGGATCATGTAGTAAATGTAGAGCAGAGAAGTTCAGAATGTCAGGTTGACCCTTTCTCTTCTCCTTTTTCTTCATAATCATAGTCGCCCTCTTTAGGTCCTTTTCATTTTTCTTGTTCTTCTTGTTCACATTCAGCTTTTGCCTAAGCTTCCCAACATTCACACCGTCGTCGTCGCTACTCTCATCCGCCTCTTCTCGCTCTTTATCGCTGCCTAGGAAGAACGATACCCCGCCAGTGATAACCTTTTCATTCTCGGACAGGGCAGCCTCCTTCATGATTTCAACCGCTTTTGCATCAGTCCATACCTGTCGTTTCCATAATTCGCGCGTGATTTTCACAGCCCAGATGCCTTGTGGGGATGTTCGATCTGATGTGATGATATTCTGAAGAACGGACTGTACGGTTTTATTTAATCGGTGATTTGTACTTTTCTGATTCGAATTCCGGAGATCTGACAGGATCTTCTGAAAAAGGAGGGCGCGCAGGGTCTTGCTAGGCGTTGATACAAGTATGGGGAAAAGCGTATTCAAAAGTCTGAAAAAAGTATGGTCAGTCCGAAGTCCCTACTGCATCTACAGCATGCTCACGTCGAGGAGTCTATGACATCCTTGTTTCGTAACAAAACCAAGCTGCTGACGACTTTGTCCCTGAGCTCGTATTGCAATTGATCGTGGTGTTGGCTTAAGAGCTGAATCAGATCATCCGGAAACGTCGCAGTCTCCCGCGGATAACAATCTGCGACATGCGAAATGAAGTCTATGAGGTCTCGTATCTTCACTATACCACTGTCGTCGGTCGAAGAGGGTGCGCGCAGGAATATTCCTCGTATGCTCTCATATTGTTGATACTGACTGTAGAAATCCTCGCGGTACGATCTTTATTCATATTAGCTACCAGGATATGCGCGCATCGAAAGAACTTACGAAGGATCCTTACGGGCTTTGTACTGAAGACTTGATCTATGGTTTTAATTAGATGCATATCGCTAGCAGTGAGAGTCTTAGAACATACAGGTCTGCATCTATCTTTTCGAGGGCGCCGACTTTCCGTTTGACCATTTTTGCACTGCGAAGAGAGGTTGTTGCAGCAGTTGCGGCGAAGACACGCAGAATAAATTCGCAACCCTAGCATCTGGTGGCTTATCGATAGTGAAGAGGTCAGGCCAAGATTTGGGCCCGCTGTTCGACAGAAAAAGAAATTACATTTAGCTATAGATTGAAAAAACAGGTGTGTATCACAAGTTGCGGGGATAGCTCAGTTGGGAGAGCGTCAGACTGAAGCCGCACTTCAGCCTAGTTTATCTGAAGGTCACCGGTTCAATCCCGGTTCACCGCATATCTTTTGCTTTTCTGAATAATCATTCAGTCTTGTTTTCTTTAATTTTGTCATTATTAATTACATTTGCTCGCATGTTCATCAAATTTCAGGAGGTTGGTTGCTGCACGCCTTGCATGCTTTGCTCCTTTTTTGCATTACATACAGTCAATATCCACGAGGCAGCCACCACAGTGGGGTTGGTTTCTAAGGCTGAGTCTACGCACGGATCTCTGAGTCAGATGTGGGTCTATATAACGAACGACTATTGGCTGCATTGCAGGATCTTGGCAGATGTCGCCTATACGCGTATAGCATCCTAGTAGACATGCTCGAGTACAGCCACGCCAACTACATCATAGTGTAAGTAAGGATCTACGCAACGATGGAAACATATAAAGGCTACCGACGTTGCTGGATCCCATAAAGCTGCATCTTCAGGCGAAGTCTCAAGTTTGATTGATAGCAACGTGAAAGACACCGTACGCAAATCCACACTACAAATTTTCCCCCAAGCCTCTTTCGTAAAGATGTCTTCCATACACAAAGATCCATTCGTCGACACCGAATCCATTATCGACAACGAGTCTATAGTAGAAACTCTCGTTGACGATACCTCCAATACTACCACTTCAGCAGTCGGACCTTTTCCCTCCACTTTCACAATCTCTTTCAAGAAAGCCTTTCTCCCTTTCGCATACTACATCACCCCCGGTGACTCCTTTTCCCCTGATTTGGAACCCCTGATGGGCATTGCGATCAACTGGGGCATCTTGGGCAAACCTCTCCTCACGCTCTACGAGCGCTTTGACAAGAACAGTGCCAAGCTTGGCATCGTGCGATACTCAGGGGTGTTAGGCAAGCATAGCATGATTGAGCTTCCAGCAAAGGGTTCCGGCGAACAACACGATGGGTCGGACGATGACGAGAATCATAGTAGTGACGCGGAGAAAGTGCAACTGCGAATGAAAATCGGCTTCCCGGCGTGTAGGTTCGAGTTCACAATGCCAGTCGCCTCCGAAAAAGGGACACGCGATGAAAGATTCGAGTGGAGGGGCAGTAAAGGTGCTGAGGTGAAAGAGCTCGAGGCATGGAAGTACGGGTTCAAACTCGTTCGTCTAGACTCTGATGAGGTTACCTCAAGCTCGAGCAACGGAGAGGTCGTTGCAGCGGCGGCGTGGCCGGGGAAGATGAGCCTGACCCAGTTGGCAAAGTTCAAGTTTCTGGGGAGCGCGGAGAGGGGCGAGCTGGGTGAGATGTGGGCGGTCATGGCGGTCATGAGCTTCTTGAGAATCATGCAGATTCATGCCGAGGGAAGGTAGACGAAATGACACTGAAGATGTAATCTTGCATGGTGTTCCAGTTGGCGTTTACCGGGGCGTCTTTCGTTCACCATTTTGATAACAATTCTGATTTGCTTCAGATTCAGCCATTCCAGAGTCAGGGCGCACATAGTATCAAAGGGCTGAAAGCTACACCATAGCTTTATCTTCCTCTTGAGGGTCTCCGTGTTCACGATAGTTTACCCCTCGAGTCGATATCCTCGGCCAGGACATGTTAGACATCATTGATCATCGCACAGGCACGATCATTGTTGCTAAGAATGACGTGCACTCGGGAATTTCTGCCACACAAGGTGTATCGTGAAATAAACCATTCCAGGATAGATGCCAAGGGGCTTGAATATAGAGAGCAAGCTCTATGTTTACGTATGAGGAGCTCTCTACCTTAGAGAACTATCGAACGTAATACTAAGCTATAGTTAGATCTATTGGCTATCCTATTTGTATTCCGTATGAATAAATAGTCCATACTATGGGTGTCATCCTAGATACCTATAAAACCTTATAAGTATAGTAAGACGCTATAAAAGTTCGCTGCTGTCATGGATAAGGAGTTGGCACATCTCCCATTTCCAAGAAAAAACTGGTCAAAAGCTCCAACCTTAACCCCGACATCAAGACAGCAAAAATTAAAACAAAAAGAAAGTGCAGAGTCCGGAATCGAACCGGGTTCCCACTGCTGCGGGAACGCGTTGGTGACTTTTACGCCATGCAGTGCCGTTGACTGAAATATCAACAAAGTAAATTGTTTATAATAGGGTTTAATTCAAAGATTCTGACTCTACGTGTCACTCTCAGACACTACGATTTGCAAAAGAGCTGCCTGCTGTGAACACGTCCAAACAGATTAGTGTATTGCGTCCCCGTTAACACAATTACCTAATTCACTTCCCAGTACAGATTCACCGGTACGTCATAATTCCATGGAGAGCTTTAATTACTAGTGTAGGCGCCTAGCAGCAAAGTCTTCGACCCAAGCGAAGATCTCACGCACATTACAAAGCTGATTTAGTCCTCCCTTTTCACACCTATGGCTCCCCACAACCAAGACTTCGAAAAGTGATCCGTTGTCCAGCATCTGGCATCGTCATGACCCCTTCTCGCAGCTATGGCGTCATTTCTTACCGCTCGTCTGGAATAAGTCCTCCTAGACCCTTTCTGAGGACCTATTTCCAGTCACCACGAAGTTGATCTATCTCCTTCTGTTCTCTCTTTTCTTCTTTCTTCTCCCGCTGGTATTCCTTTATCGAAAGTTCGCGTTCTTCCCGGACGGTTAGTGGTTCCTGCTCCCAGACCGGCTGCTTAGAATCTGGCTTCTTCGACTCTGGCTGCTTAGACTCTGACTCCTTCGATTCTGGCTGCTTCGCCTCCGGCTGCTTCAAGCTCGACGAATTAGAGGCTTGGGTTGCGGATGAGTGTTTGTCTGACATAATGACTTGGTTGTTTCTGTTTTGTATTCGTATGGAGTTCAGCTATACTCTGTACAGGAAGTAGCCTCGAAGGAGTTGATAGTGATGGTTGGTGATGAGAGAGGTACAAACAAAAAGAAGAGCTCTTGGGAAACATTCATATATCATTGTGCGGCTGTGGCATTGTTGGCATATAGAGACATTCCAGCCAAATGTCTGAGAATGAATGGCAATATCCTGTTTGCAAGAAGGTCTCAGATCGGCACAACGTGTCTTCTCATTGCATTTGCACGCACGTTTGTGGTATGTGACAAGTAGTCAGGCAAACAGGAGTCTTGAAATATCTGCTGCTGAGACATTCGCCTCGTGATTCTTCTTGCTTCTTGGAGTTATGGTGGTTTACAAAAAGTGCTAGAGTGTTGTTTGAGGCAAAAAGCCGGGGCTTTAGCCCATAGCTTCTCTATCCACGTCAGTTAGGGCTAAGAAGACAATGTATGGCGCTCTTGTAAGTTTGTCGCTGACAGCGTACGAATTGATGACTTGGAAAGTTTCGCCCAGAAAATGACGTGGTGCCAGGAAGAGTTGATTGATGTTCACTACCAACGCAAGCAAAGCCTGTCCAAGCCTCTCACACATACCATCTACGCCAACCATATGAGCTTCCACGTTCTTAGGAAGTACCCTCAATAAACTTTATAGATAAACCTGACAAGCACTTCTGAACTGTCGCCAAAGGAATAGCATAAGACTGCCTTCGTGAATAATCTTACATTGCCAAAATTCGAAGGACCATGGCAGTACGTCCAACATGTTTGCTCTATGTGATGTGAGGTGATGGGCATAGTAAGTATGTTGATGCCCACAAAACATGATTTCATGGTATAATATCACGTCAATGAAAGAAAATGCGCCGTATGCGGTGCTTCTAAAGTCAAGTTTTGACTTCTCATGTCATTTCAAAAGTAGTTTGTACACGGAGACGTAGCTTGCAATAATGTTAGCCATTTCACAGTAGTGTAACATTAATTCATCTACGATATGTTCCGATTATAGACCCTGAGTGAAGTTCATCGTCTCTGGACTTCATTGGTATGTGGCTCAATCCTTTATGCAGCTGGTGTCACCTCCTAAGGCTGCTTCGTGAGCCTTGCCATGCCTCCTCTTTCTTTATTGACCCGACTTCCGAACATGGCAGACCTTGCGACAACCATACCGTTTTCGCGCGGGTCATACAGTACGGGTTGTGCAGCAGTCATGCCTTTCTCGAACACTATTCCCATAACCGTCTGCGTCTCGAGATCAGGCCAGATGCTCGACATGCCAAATGGTGCACGACGCCACGGCTGCGGGTTAACAGGCTGCCCATTTACCATGTCTACACTCCATTGTACTGTAATCCAACGAGGCCATGGCGCTGAGAGCATCCTATTGCGTAGGTCTCCAGAAGGGCCAGGTGAAAGCATTCGGTAAAACCAACAGTTGCCGACCATCTTGGCCATTTGGCAGATTGCATACATATGATCGCGTAGCTTGTACCACACCATACCGTACGTGAAGAGTCTGGCAGGAGCTAGCATGAACGTGTAAAGACGGATCGAAGCTACACCCTTTGCGAGTTCGGCGATGAGATGGTCAGGGCATGAGAGCTGTGTTGGGTCCTTGTTGAACTTATCGACCAGACCGTCAAGCTCCTCCTGCTCAATACCCAACCAGTTATGACGTGCTGTGGGTTTGTAGTGAGGGTCCATCGCCACCTGCGTCATCCACAGTCTGCCACTTGAAGCTATATCGACAACTTCCATACGGAGACTGGTATTCTCCGCTGAGTCCGCGCTGATACATCGGAGCATCTCTTCTTTCCCTGTATGTCCTTCGTTGATTGAGATAGCAGCTGTGCCGCCAAATTCGGCTAGCTGCGATGCAAAGATGCGGAAGTGAACTTGACGTGGTCGTGAATCATCCACATTATGTTTTGATTTTCGACCATACAGCTTCCGTAGTACTTGGCCATTTGCATCGACGTCGCGATTAATGGATATCTGGATAGATGGATACTGACTTTCAGTCATGTAGGATTGGCTTACAAAGTCTCCAGCATGCGTGGTTAGACTGCCGTATCCACGGCATGTAGAATCTGAAGCATTCGCGATTTCGATTGCGCAATTCCTGGTTCGATCTAAGTGATGTTCTTTCCCAGCATATCCAGGAACGGCAAATCGAGGACGGTCAGCTTTGCGATAGTCGCGATGGACAATTTTCGGGTCGATTCCGTGAAAAAGATCATCAGGATAGCAGGATCGTTCGGTCTCCTTGAACTGCATACTCTGAGGCAAGTCAACAATGATGAGCCTGCGCTGAAGACCGCGAGGAAGCTGGCTTGGGATGCTCCCGTGCAGAGGAAGAGACATCCTGCGTGAGCGTTAAGTGCAAATTCGCAGGCAAAAGAGCGAGTTAACTCCTCTTCAAGGATCGACCAAGAACTTACTTTACTTGCTGGCCCTTTCACTGAACGGTTGATGGGTGGTGACTTCAGACAAGCGACTGAAAGTTCAGCATTAGCTGTATGAAGCTTTATTATCGTGAATGAATGGGAAGAGTCTAGGATAAGGTAAAGTCACTTCGCTCGATACAATGTGACTTGTTTGGAACGCACGGGTTCATTTCACCTCCGCCAAGACGGTGGTCATCGAATGTGGAACGGCAGGCGCACGGCCGTTGAGCACAACGAGTGGAGTGAAGTTAGAATCGTACTCATACATGTAGAGTTAACACTTAGTAGCACGGGAAGTTCGCGGAGTGGGAACTGGCGGCAAATTGTTTCCATCACAAATTGTTCATCTCGGCATGGGGAAAGGTACATGAAAATGCACGATTATATTCTTGGCTATGGTAAGAACCGGTAAGTTAATTCAGCTGAACGCAAGCCTTCTTATAACGCCAGACAATTATCGTCGGGTAGTCGCAAAAGGCTAAACAAGTATATGACCTATACTGGACAGGTGCGAAGTGCCTAGAGACGTAGCAGTCCATCAGATATCCGTGAAGATATGAAACTTCACATACTGGTTTTCGTTCCTAGGTATCAAGTAAGATCCCAAGAGTGTCTTAGTGGTCGAAAGATAAGCCAAGAAATTTCCTAGAGTCGATTAGAGTGCCCGGGTGCGCGCAAAGAGCGAGCTGTATACGGCGTCAACGACAGGCTGGGCCGAGATAGTTTTGCCGCCGAAAAATCGACCATTGAGGCCGCGGATGGCATTTTCGCCACCGGAGATCTTGTCGAATTTGATGTAAATGTCACCCTGTGTATTTGGGTCAACAGCGATGTGCACAACAGTGCCGTACTTGTCGTTGCACTCTTTGCGCACTTCATCTTCGAGCTCCTGGACCCAGCCATCACTTTCTTCCCTGGGCAAAGTTAGCAGATGTTTATCATGAGTCGGTCAGGTCAAGCTTTGACCGTCCATGAAACAAGCTGTGCTCTGACAGCTTATTCCACGAGACACTTGACTTAGACCGAAAGGGCAACGACTTACTCTGCAGGATCGAAGCAATTCTTCAGAAGAACGCAACGACTAGCCTGGCTGACATTGACAGGCGTTGGGCGAGTTTCTGTTCGAGGCTTAGCAAGTTTGGCCCGTTCCTCTTTACCGTGAGTCTCAGTCGAATCGTCAGTACGGGCAAGTTTTCGCATCAAGGCATCTCTGCTAAAGTTGTTGAAGTTTACGCCAGCCACATCAGTATCATCGAGAGCGCTTGCACCGCCAGTGCCTTTGTCGGTATCGCGACCTCCAGCACGATCAAAACTGCCACCCGCTCCTCCGGCGTGAGCACCACGGCCGCCACGACCGGAGAAATCGGAGCCCTGGAAGCTCGGTTGACTAAGGCCATTGAATTTCTGCAGCAAGTTTTGCGTAGATTCGGGAGTAAACTTATCATTGCCCAAACCGACGCGGATAGGGCGGCCAGCAATCTCAAAGCCATTCAAATGCTCAAGAGCTTCCTTGGCTTGGGTCGGATCGCGAAACCTGCAAACATTAACAATACATCCCACAGAGGTGAGGCTTGTGAGTGACTTACTGAACGAAACCATAGCCTCTGCTTCGGCCTTGGTCTTCCTTCTGGAGTTGAACAAACTCGAGCTCGCCAAAAGGTTCGAAGACTTCCTGTAGATCCTCTTCAGTGATGCTAAAGTGAATGTTGCCCACGTATAGGCGGTGGAAAGGAACACCGTTTGTAGCTGTGCTACCCGATTCGGTAGTGCGGGCCTGTCGGTTCTTCTCAGCTTCGGTGAGCTGTGCAATGATGGGAATGCCTAGGAGTTTCTGTCCAGTAAGCTGAATAGCCAAAGCTACAGAATCTTCTTCCTTGAATTCGACGTAGCCAACACTTTCAGAAGAGTTAGTGGAGGCGACATAAAGGAATATTGCGACTTACCCTTTGGAGCGTCCGCTGACTCTATCCTTGACGATCTGTGCTTCTTTAACAGGACCAACCTTCTCAAAGAATGCAATCAATTCCTTCGTGCGGAGACGAGCTGCTAGCTGTTGTACGAAAACCGTGCGACGATCACGCTCGTCTTCGGTTGGCTGGGGCGTGGGGGACTTCGTGCGGCGGCGAGGGGTAGGCGAGCGGCGGCGACCACCTCGACCACGTCCGTTGCGCTCTACTCTGTCTTCCCGATCTTCTCTGTCACTACGGCGGCGGTCGCCGGGCCGATAGTATCGGTCACTATCGGGGGACTTGGACCGAGTGCGTGTGCGAGCACGTCCGGGACCGCGGTAGTAGTCACCTCGATCGTCTTTTGCGTCAGAACGACGTCTCTCGCGGCGACGATGGCGTGAATCGTCACGGCTGCGGGATCGATGACGGCTTTTGTGGCTGCCATTTGCGCTTCCTCGATCGCTGCGAGGTGACTTGGTCATGTCTACATCGTCATGGTCGCGTCGGCGGCGGTCACGAGAGCGATCGCGACGTTTGAAGTCTCGCTCACGGTCTCTGGAGGAACGGCGGTCGCGATGATGTCTGTCATCTTTCCGATCGTTGCGTACGAGGACAGGCTCAGGTGCGTCCTGGAAGCCGTTGGCCGTGGAGTCGAGAAGAGCTTCGACGTCGAGTCCTGACATTGCTGTTGATGAAGAACTGTTTTCGTGAAAGAGATCGTCACTTTTCCTCAAAGTCAGAGTGTTCCACGGGACTGGATACGGACGATCGAACCCTTTTGCTACCTGTTTGCGGATATTGCCGTGTTTGCAAATCAAGTCAAGCCACGATAAAGTGACCCTAGATCTGAAATCTGAATCTGGGTTGCTTGTACGAGTTACAAGCAAGAGAGATTGTAAGAACAAGGAAACAATGGTGGGTAATATTTAAGTGCGAGGGACGCACAAGGTAAAGGTAAAGGTAGAGGTAAAGGTGAAGTGCGTGGGCGGTGAGTTAGGCGCAAGTGGGACGGCGGCAAGATCTTCCGGTGAACAGCCGAGTGGGGCACCCATGACCAGTGCTTTGGGCTATCAGCCGACATAATTCCGGCCACATAAGCGTAGTGGAGGGTGACCACTATAACCTCCATTCTCTTGAAAATCACATAAAATATTAGTCTAGTAAATTGATTCAGTAGTAGAAGATGTTAGGATAGTATAGTAAATGTTCGAATTATATCTATTAATCATGTCTACTAACAGTACTCTCACGTAAATGTGGGTGAGAGATATAGGGCCACGCATTAGGTTATGTTGCCGGAATTATGTCGGCTGAGAGTTTGGGGCCTCAGGCCACGATACAAGGCATCTTTGTGTCACTCTCAATCCTTTGCCATAGCACGAGAGATGTGGAGAGCGGTGAAGGTGAACTTCGAGTGAATGTAGTTTATTATTATGAATTAATGGGAGCGTATTATAGCATATCCGCCAGCTCCCCGGTTGGCACGCGACTCCTGAGCAGTATGCCTAACATACACAAAACTAATGCAAGGTCTAAAACGTTTCATTCATCGTGATGAGCCAAACCCGTACTCGTCATACATGCTTTTAAAGAAACATCCAAGGATGACCCATGCCTGGAAACTAAGAGGTCTTGACAATTTTGGGCGGTGGGATAGCTAGTTCGGTCTTGAAGATGCGGTCCCAGAAACGACTGGTCACTCCGAACCCATTCTCATAGTCAGCGAAGTGATGTTGAAGGTGGTACTTCTTGAGTTCTCGATAATGAGCGGGCAAGCTATAGTCTTTATTAGTACATTGTTATCATCAGCCATCAGGAAAGAACGTACCTTCGGTGGTGGAGGAAGTAGTGTGTAAGATCATAGCAGATATAGCCAAATATACCTCCACAATAGACCGCTACGGCGGCGTGCCAACTGTAGAAGAAGATAGCATGGGCGAGCTTCCAAAACGGCGCAGCGAGCACGATAAACAGGGTTGGAGGCATGACCAGGCGATACTTGTCCATGGGAAGATAATGATGAATTCCGTGAAGTAGGAAATGTGCGGTGATACCGACACGATTGTCAGGTAAGTAATGGTCGACATGGAATAAACAACGATGGAGGCCATATTCAACCAATGTCCAGATCGCCAGGCCTACCAGCCAGTATGCGACCAGCTGAAGAATGCTGTCCATACCCTGACTGGCAAGGTATGTACCGTAAGCAACTGGAGGAACCCAGACAGTGGGAACTATCCACCAAGCAGTTTTACTGAGAGGCTCCAGAAAATTTCCGAAAAGAGGAGCTGATTGACCACCCTTGTAATGACGAGGCCGATGTATTTGTTGCAAGTAGAACTCTTTGCTGAAACCGCCGTACCATACTTGCGGAAACATTGGCCGACTCAAATCGATGAACTTGTGTGTTTTGTAGTCTGACGTAAAATCCGTCTCTTTTGATAGATCATCTGCAGATGACATACCTGTTGCTTCGTAGACTGGTCTTGTTGCTTGGCTGCTGTCAATGCCATTCGCCTGTGGTTCCTTCTTCCCTTGAACTGTTGGTGGAAGAGGTACTATTTCGTCTGGGTGCTGACTTTTCGCAGCTGCACTGAGCACCTTTTCTGTAGCCACAAAACCAACCAGACAATCTTCCAGGACTTCATATGCAGCTTCCGAATGGGTATGCGAGGCCTCATCTTCCATTATTGCCTTGACATCTCTGCCACCGTACTCGAGCACAAGGTCGGCACCACCGGGGTGGTCGTTTAAGAAATCGGTAACATCAAATACTTTGGTGCCAATAGTAACGTAACAAGAATTCTTAGTATTGCGCGATGCGACTTCGGACTGTAGAAAGGTAGGGAGGTTTGCGGAGGGCATTGCGACGCTCTTCGACAATGATGGCGAGGGAGGCGAAGGAGAGTGAGATGCTAGATAATACGTGACGCAAACCAGGCGAAGAATCAAATTGCAGTAGAGGTGAGGGTATTGAACTTGGTCAATGGGAAATGGGTAATGGGTATCTAGGTAGGGATTTGAAAGGAAACAGCATGCAGCCGGCGCGCAAGAAAATGGAGTGATGGTGGCGAGAGCCTAGCGTGACTACTGACTGAGATGTTGGTTAGACGCAGACGCGGACGACGCGGGTGCGAAATTTGTCCATCCACTATTAATTAGGTATCCGATCACATGCTATAATAGATGGAATGCCTGTCATTACCATTCAGGGGTTATTGTGCCTGAGCGTAATAAGGCTGAAGTTTAGGTCAAAGTTTAGTTTTGACCCTTGTCCCGTAACCCTAATTACTCGCCATTTTCAACACATCGTCGTTTCCACGACAGCTTCAAAGAGTTTGTTAATTCCTGATGGTTTCGTGAACGAGTATACTTGGCGTGTAATGCGCTCGCCCTTGTCAACCTCGTTTTGATCCTACAGCGTAAGTCGACCATGTTTGCAGTTTACCTTGCTCTTGCTCATTCCACAGCCGCTGCCCGACAGTTGCCCTCATTCGTTTCCAGGATAGATTCTGGGCGGTCCACTTCTCACATTTGATTCTTTATCAGAAGTATTCCCATGCTCACTACATACGAGATAACAAAAACACTGGTCATGCGGACCACTCAAATGACGGATTGCTTCCGAAAGAATGATGCCTGTGCACATGTCTCTGGAACAAACCCCCAACATCAGTAGATCGAATCTGATAATTTTTTCTGCTATCACAGAATCTGCAATACTGCAATTTACCGTCGGTCACTTCTCCATGACTTTCCCGTCGTGAGTCATCGTGAAGACGGAAAATGACATTCTTGGATCTAGGATTTCATGCTCGCCGAGGCATATGATCTGTTCAGGCTGCTCATGACCTCTGATCAATATCAGGAATGTGTGTGATACTGACGCGACAATTTCCAATAATGCCTATTACCAGTGCTTGAAAACCAGCATCGAGGTCATATGCATTTGACGCGCGAGTCGAGAAGTGGGGTTATTAGCTGGCGGGGGAATTGAAGCAGACGCCATATAAGTACATTCTTCTGCTAATTCTCCATTACAACTTCGGTTTCTACAATGTCTACCGCTGGTCTTGTCATCTTGACACACCCGCTGCCGTCCGCGCCCCTGGGGCAGCTAATTGAGGAACCGATTTCACCCACCTCTAAAATATACACGGCCACGGCCATGTTTCCCGACAGTCCGACGCAGATCTCCTCTACATCGCTGCGCGGTGCTACACGACGAGTGTGCCACAGTAGTAACAGCCTAAGTGGCAGTCTTATGAAGATCGAAGCTCACGATTCGGTACGTTCTACACTGGAGAACGACCGCACCATCTTTAGATCTCTTTGTCAAGACCCAGGAGCCCAGAAGTGGATGCACGATATGACGAAAGCTGGACGTCGTTTCTCCTTTGTTGTTGGCACCCAAGAGCTGAGAAATGCAAAGTTCACTCCAGTGGATTTGTCTCCGCAACGCATCTCTGCACATGCGCACGATGACAGTACTCAGGTTCCATCAAATATAAAGACTGCGCCTGGCCTTGAAGCACGCAAAGTCAAGTGTCTGGTTGGAAGACACGATGCGCCGCACTCCCTCGAAGATGTCGATTATGATTGGAATTACTTTTCGTTGAGCGATGATATGCAGCTAGCCATTGGTTTAGGAGCTACCTCAGGAGAACTTCAAGCCCTGGTTAATGCATCGATCAATATTTGATATGTATGATTTCAAGTAATCGAAATTCAAGATATAAGAAGATGTTAACATCATATTCACGTGACCGTGTACAAGCTCGGACCCCACTGCATTCACTTCTGCGCGCGGATACCTCGAATACACTTCAACCCTAGTTAGCCTTCATTTCGCACTCTGAACCCCTCGAAGATCGTGACTTGCATCTAGAGACTTGGATGATCACTGACACAATAGAATAGCCGTCCATAAAGGTCTGAATGTTGGGCTGTATATTTCAGATTCAAGAATCTGTGTACTCTTCTAAATCAAATCGAGAAGAGAAGGATCAGCACGATCACATTATCTTATCACACAAGCTGGGATACAACTTGAGTCCAAATGCACGAGATTCTCACAGTGCAACTGGGAACGCAAGCCAATTATGTCGGGACTCATTTCTGGAACACGCAAGTATGCTGTCTATGTCTTTGTATTCATTTATTCTCATGATCCTTCACTCTTCCTTTTGTCAGCTTTGAAATCCTACTGCAGCCTTCAGATTGTCATGGTTGAACATATCCCATATGTTTCCTCTGCCGCGGGGCATGTTCTCCCGTTCTTCGGACAAACCCAGAATGATCTAATTTCGCATAGGAGAAGTACTTTACGTACGCAAATGAAGAAATCTCTCTAGTCGACCATGACATACATTTCCGTGCCGGTCGAGCTCCGAATGGCTCCGAAACCTACAACCCGCGGGCCCTCATCTATGACCTCAAGGAGAACTTTGGCGCCCTCAAGAAGGCTGAAGGAGAGTATGTCGAAGAATTCGACACTTCGGGCGGCATTTGGCCAAATTCTTCAACTATCCATACTGGGCCTCCAATATCCACACATCCGTACATCGACAGCTTGTCGCATCCACACGGACCATTACCCAGTTTACTATGTGGACAGCCACCACGCTACTTCACCGATCTATCGCATACGTACTTCCATCCCAGGTCTATCATGCCTTTGCCACGCGCCGTCATACCCACTGTGTCGCATCTGAACCCACTTAAGTCCTTTCGTGCAGGCGCAGAGTTTTACCACGACCTTGATATCGCGGACCCGGCAGGTGACGGCGATCTCTTCGAAAGAGACGTGCGGTGGTGGGTTGAAGAATGCGACAATCTACAGGGCGTACAGATTATAACCGGTGCTGATGACGCGTGGGGTGGGTTTGCTGGAGCATGGGTTGAAAGGTGGAAGGACGAGATGGGGGGAGGAAAGGGAGTCTGGGTGTGGGGTGTGGAGAAATACATCGAGCCCAAGGAGCAAAGTAGAGAGTCGAGACTACTATCGCTCCTGAACGAGACGCTGGCTTTATGTGCTTTGGCTATGCATGCGTCCCTATACGTTCCACTGACATCGCAGCCACTTCGATCACCGTCCTACTTGACATACGACCCTGGTTCAGCATGGCATGTGTCTGCATTACAGGCTACCGCACTGGAGACTGCTGCGTTCTCATCCCGCTTACGTCCTGCGTCAAACACACGTCGTGGAATGTTTCAAGACATGGAAGAAATCACAAATAGTGGCGGCAATCGCAATGTCGCAAAGCTGGAAATGAGTATCCAAGACGCAGAGAGTGATCAAATCATAATGACTGGTGATAAGAGCGATTATCGTATGGCAAATGGACATATGATCGCCGCCGATGAATATGAGGAGCCTAAAAAGTTGGATGTGGACATGTTCTCGAAAGACATGGGAAACATAGGAAATACGCACAGTTCGGCCAGCCAGAGTGAACATGTCTTCGGGAGAGTAGAAGTTGTCCGTGGTAATTGGGGTTTGGGTGAAGAGAGGACTGAGGGCGAAGAGAGATGGAGTGGACCTGTCGTGGAAAGGTGTGTTCAGCAAGCGTCCGTGGATTTCAACTCTTGGACCGCCCAAACCATTGTCAATTCAAGTGTACCCATTGCTGACTCAACTAGGTATCACTCGCCCTTGACCTATCCTCAACTTACGAGCTTTCCGACTATATTTGGGGTCCAGTCCGATCACAGACTAGCCATACATACCGCACTAACGACATCATCGGCCGTTGCAACACAGATCCGTCAAATGGAACGCACGGTGCGGAGGTATGTCAGTGTGGACGAACGAGAGGCCGTCTCAGATGGATTGAAGACTCTTTGCGAAGAATACGAAGAAGGATGGGACAGCGGAAGTGACGAAGGCGAAGATGAGTAGTATTGGGTTTGTGGGATCAGTAATTGAACGGGTCACTTCTCATCCACGTCCTAACCAAAGCCCTCTGCTCTTGACATCAAAGCCGTATCTCGAGAGTTTGTCTATACTCATGCTTTCGGCCTTTGCCTGCACGCGCTTCCGCTACGCCCTGCATCTTGGCGGTAGCACAGTTTCGTAACTGCAGATGCGGGTCAGTACCAGCTCCGTTCCTCCCAGACGGCTTCTTGTCGCACGTTTTGGAACTCTGGAAACTCCTCCCAGAGTCACTATTGATTTCAGCCGTTTTCAGAGGCCGTGCCATGGTTCATAGGTAGATTGCGTTTGTGGGCGGGACGGCTACGTCTAGACATTCATGAGCGACACTGTTATGAGAGCAATTACATCATCAGTAGGCTGACAACTGACTAGATCGAGTACCACTGTGTACTACTCAACGAAATTTCGACAATCGATAAAGCAGTGAAGCTCCGTAGCGGGGGCCCGTCAGCCACTCGGACTCACAGTTGTCCAGTGACGGACTTTAGATGGTTTCCCCAACCTGCAACCATCCAGCCCGAGAAACGCATACATGCGGGCAGCCGTGTTTGGCTGCGTTGCTTTTTCAACAATTTAACATTACTACTAAGCAGTTGAACCGGCTCTATCATCATCATTGTCCAAAAAGCCATCAGAAACCAGTCTTGTTGTACGGCGACGGGAAGTCTAGTATCACAGACACGTATGTCATGGGTAGTTCGACTTTTTCTCGGTGTACCCTTTTGAGAGCAACCATACCTCGACTGGAAGAGCTTGGAACACGTCCACTTCGGAACCATGAGTGACCGTGTTGACCTACGAAGCACGGCTCGGCTAATTTTCATCTTTACGACATCCATGGGCAATAAACACCCAACCTCTCCGCCAGCGCATTGGCCAACACGCATCTTCAGCTACCGCATGGTCCGGTCAACACTGGACATTATCGATTATCTCTACAGGTCCGATGTGCCCCTGTAAACATTCCGTGACCAAACTGCCCCAACCTGCCTTTCCTCCATTCAGACTACCCACCATTGGGTTTACTGTTCCATAACGTCCGGCTGGTTCCATATATGTTGTAGGTTCGCTTGTGGTCGTGAATAAAGAGCTTGTTACCTGCCATAATTCTCCTTCTTATTGTTTTGTCTTTCGTTGACCAACGTGTCATACTATTTCCAACCTTCGTGTTTAATTCTTCCTTCCAGCCTTTCCGGCGGTAAGGGCCCCTTCTCTAAAGCCCTGCCTGCAATAATCTTTGTCTATATCTTATATCTTAATTCGCAGACGTTTTAATCTACTATTCTGTGTACACTTTCAACTTAATCGACGCAAGACAAAATGAAGAGTGCTCTCGGACTTATGGCCCTTGCGGTCTTCAGTGCTGCTACTGACAGCTACGCTTCACCACTACCTGGGAACGAAAGCTATGGCTCGCCAGTGCCGACTCCATCTTCAAAAGAAGCATCGCACGAGACACCATCTCACTACACGTCCCATGCTCCAGTATCATCGCCACATGAGTCTCCACCGCCCACGCCGAGCCCGCCCGTTTACACTCCCTCAGAGCCTCCTCATGAGACGCCAACTCATGAATCTCACTCTGCTCTTCCAGTGTATACACACACACCTGTATCCCCGGTTTATACGCACACGCCTGTCCCCCCAGAGTATACCCATACGCCTGTTTCCCAGCATTCGACCTTCGAGACTCCACGTTCGACTTACGAGCCTCATTCGACGTACGAGCCTCCACATTCGACATACGAGCCTCCACATTCGACACACGAGCCTCCACATTCGACACACGAGCCTCCACATTCGACACACGAGCCTCCACATTCGACACACGAGCCTCCACATTCGACATACGAACCTCCACACTCAAGCCCGCCACCGTACACTCACACGCCTCCGCCGTCTAGCTACGAACCTCCACACTCAAGCCATGCTCCACCATCACCGCACTCAACTTACGAGCCGCCTCACTCAAGCATGCCTCCCCACTCGAGCCCGCCAGCGTACACCCATACACCCCCGCCGTCACCGTCTAGCCATGCACCACCCTTATCAACTTACGAGCCTCCCCACGTGACAACGCCTTGCCCTCCTCCCGGCACAATCACGACCATTGTCACAAAGACCCGCTCAAAGTCGCACGCTGCATCCCCGCACCCATCAAGCTCGTACCAAGTATGTACCTATCCTCAAGTTCACAAATCAGACCAATCCCTAACACTCGTGCCAGCCTCGCCCTCCACCTCCTCCTCCATCAACGTACCACAGCCCGTCTTCGCCTCCCAAGCCCACGGCATCGTCTCCCGCTCCGCCGCCACCAGGTACACCTATTCCTCCACCCCCACCAGGTACTCCTATACCCCCTCCGGCGCCTGGCACTCCTATCCCTCCTCCACCTCCCGGTACTCCCCTCCCTTCACCACCGCCCCCGCCAGGCACCGTTGCCCCAGTCCCTGGTACCAGCGTTACACCTCTGCCGCCGGTGCCTCCCCCAGCCACAGTCGCTACACCGCGCCCATCAAGCGTTACCCCTGTGGGCCCACCCTCATTCACCGGCGCGGCAGCCGTAATGGCGAAGAACCCTCTCGGCGCACTAGTAGCCGGCGTCGTCGCCGTGGCAGCGATGGTATAACAGGAAATTCCCCTCTCCCGGCAACCTCGTATATATAGTATAGTATAGTATACCCCCTTTCTTTCTTTCTTTTTCTGCTTCTCATACTCCTCTTATCTTCACTTCTTCCATGCCAGCAACAGCCACTCACTGTCAAGCATTCTCATGTAAGAAAACGTGGTCTGTGGTTCATTTATATATATTCGGGTGGAGCTTGAGCATCATTCTTTTTAGACGGCTCGCATTTTTCTTCTTCTTCTAACGACGGGAGTTTTTTTTTCCTATTCACATACCTACCTATGAGCATCATTCTTTTATAGCTCTTGCGCTTTTTAACGAAGGAATACGTTTTTTTGGAGGAAGATGAGGAGGATGGGGAGAGGCCGGTGTGTATGCACCCGGTCTGAGGGAGAGATTTTGAGGAATGTTTATTTATTTATTTGCTTGAGATATCACCGTGGCCCGACGCCCTTTGTACTGTGGAACGCATATAGAAAATTTATACATGTAATGTGTCTGTTATGAGAGAATCTACCTGCCCTAATGAGTCTATTCCTGAAGAGAATGCATCTGCCTTGATGTGTCTTGTTGCGGGATTTCCAGATATTACGCACTCAAGTATCAGATATACCGGTCCCTCGCCCGCACTTACAGCCCTTCGCACCACAGCGCCGGCGCCTTTCCAATCAAGCGCGCATCTCATAGCGGCTGACCCGCCCGACTCGCGCCGTCCTTTTAGCCCGCTCTCGAGGGTCCGAGGTCTCTAAGGCCTGACTGTTTGATGAGCAACGGTTGTAATAATTATAGGGCCTAAGACCTTGCCAAAGCATGCATCATCAACACCCAGCAGGAACGTCAAACCTGCCTGCCTGATTATGGTGAAGTGGATGGATATCGGGATCAAGAGCGTCAGACATTAGGTCGAGAGGTGAATACGCCCTACACGAGAACAAACAAACCCACTACACGGTAAAAAGGCTTGGATATGAATCGAAGCTTGGAAAATGTATATTGACTATGTGAGTCCTGCATGACCGAGATGAAGAATGAATACAATAAGTTTAGGAACAGAAGAAGAAGTTCGAACTTCAAGCTTGAAGAACACTTTCGGTTTGCAAGATAACGTATAATCAAGGATTGCCACAGGCAACTTATCGGTCCAAATGACGACCCTGACCCTCGGGCAGTCAATCATGTTCTCTCAGCAGAGGCCCGTGCCTTTTCCTTCTCTTTCCTCTCCAGGCGGATCTGTTGGAATGTCTGCCCATCGAGCTTCTTGGAAACAGCACCGCCCACGACCTTCAAGATCTGGCTGGAGTCGAGCGGTCGGCCAGTGTACTTGACCGTATCGACAATGTCGCGGCCCCAGAGGTGATCATCGAGCCTTTGCAGCATCTCTGTAGCATCCGGGAAGTCGCCAATCTGGAAGAACTGGACACCGAGCTGAGTCGCGTGAGCATCCCATTTGTCCAGCTTCTTGGCAAAGTCCTGGATGACTACTTCGAGGCGAGTGTCGCTGCTATCTGTCGCACCACCATCTGTGATGACGATGATGTTCTGCGGCTTGACGTCATCCCAGGATCCGGCAGAGACATATCTCTCCTCATAGTTGTGGAAGAGATCGCGAAGGCGTCGGCCAGTCGGAGTGCGGGCCGTTGGCGTCACTTGCTGGAAGATCCGCTCGATTTCCTCGGGGTTGGTGATCTTCGAGTAATGTTGTGGGTGGTTCAAGAACTCAATGTCGATGCCATCCGAGTCGTACTCGGCGCACGTGGGGGCGATTGCCTTGAGAGCTCTCTCAGCTTCGCTCCAGCCGTTTCCAAGCATCGAGCCGGAATCATCTATGAGGAACACGGTGTCATACTCGCGCAAGAAACCATAGCGACCGTCTTGCGTCTCGGCAGCTCTGGGTGCTTCTCTGGGTGCTTCAGTAGGTTTGAACGCAGGACCTGTATCGTAGGCTTGGTAGGGTGGCGGCTGCTCTGCATGCACAGTTGATGAAGACGACGATACGGACTTGGTTTTCTTCAGGCCAAACAAGTTGCCCAGCGATCGGCGCGATTTAGAGTCTCGTGGGGGTAGAGCATCAAGGAAGTTCTTGCTGTCTCTTGGATCGGAGCTGGCCATGGTGCTGTTGTTTGCAAAGGGCGCCAGATGTGATGAGGTTGCTATTGTCGAAGCTGACGAGAACTGCGGATCCTGAGGTATGGAAGTACTGCGACGAAGTGAAGGAGGGAGGCCTAGGAAAGTGTCCCCAGAGGAGGTTTGTGGTGTTTGGGCAAGAGCCGATCTGTCATTCATTAAGTCTGTAATGTAGTTTGAAAGAACAACTGAGTTTCAAACAGCGAGGGTAATCATTTCCCGTAAGGGCCAAAGAAATCATAAAATGTCAAGCCACTGCTGTTGGACTAGGCTGTTTATGGATGACTGATGACTTTCTTTGTGTGCAGTGGCGTGTGAAAGCACATGCCTTGGACAAACAATGTGGCAGTTTTATAGGAATCTTGATACTTACAAGCGTTCTTTCACACAGCCAAGGTATCCTGCAAGGCTCCAACAGTACACCTGAGGAACGGAGGAGAGAGGATGCTATCTCAAGGGGTGGATGGATTCACCAGAGACTGTGGTAGCCGTTCGTGATTGACACATGGCCCGTCTCACAGCCTCGCGGACAGTCAGATAGACGTTAGGAACCCATATGCCATGTGGTGCAGTTGGCCTTAGCTCCGGTTCTGTGGTGGGACTGAACATGCACAGCCCCAGCCTTATTCGCTGTTTTCTTGGGAATGCAAGCTCCGCCACTATATGCTCACCTTCACCCAGCGAGTCTGCCTCGTGCGTTTAATTCACCTGGCAGGCTCTTGAATATCAATTTCCCGGAAATGATGTGTCTTAGACGCGACTCAGTTGAGATCTGAATGGCTGGGCCTGGCGTTCAGCCGCCCAAACAAGGAGATACACGCGCTTGTCGCAAATAGCCAACCAACATCAATCACCACAAGATCAAGCGTGAATGTGAAAGGCCATGGACGGCCCTATCATGGATTCACCGGACAGCGACGCTCTCACTGGGTTTTATTGTCCAGGTCGCCATTCCTTGTCTTCCGTCACACACATCATGCCATTCCCTACTCAGCCAAGGCATTTACAATGTCCGTTATGATGAAGTGGAACAACAACCTTGTCTAATATGGGACACACCGGTAGGGTGGAATTCGGCCCAGTCTCGTTCAGTCGCGGTAAACATTTCGCGGACATCAAATTGGCGATGGAAACACTGACCTGCTGGTGCTGCATGTTTAGGCTTCCCTGTATGCGACAACGTTCCAGTCCTCCTCCACATAAGCGGACGTTTGGCCTCTGCCCAAGCATAGTCCCCTCGCCGAGCTTTGAAGCATTCGGGACATAGTCCTAAATCAGGACTCCCGCTGTCCTTGTCTAGCCAGTATTGTAACCAACCGAGTACGGGTAGCATTCGACTTCTGAGCCCACAATGGGCGTGGTTGCTATCGATCTGGTACTTGGGACATTTGCGCAAGCTATCAACAAGTCGGTCGATATCTCCACTGTATGCAGTTACATTGATGGGGTCATATAGGAGACTCCGAACTCTCAGCATGCCCGCACGACTAAGAAAACGGACCATCTCTCCCAATTGAAAAGAGTCACATGCTAAAGAGGAATCGTACCCAAGCTTGCACTGTCTTTCGCCAGACATATATAGGTGGAGAAAGTATAGGGGTATAGAGCTCAGAGTTTCCAACACTCTTTCACGTCGATATTGAAGCTCTTCTGAGGATAGCATTAGTCACCGGATCGTGTACATGACCTACCTGTGGACGAACCTTCAATGCCGTGCGGAAGATCCCACCATAGTGCACTCTCCGTGTCCTCTTGCTCCTGGGCCGGAGGGTCCCATCGTTTTGATCCTGACAGTATCAAGTGTTTGCTATTCTTGGTGACCCATGGATTATGATCCAACAGATAGCCAACCAACAACTTTTGGCGAACCCGCTCTTCCGATGTATTCTTCCCACGCGCCCTTGCATCAATCGCCCTGAAAATACCCTTCTTCTTCGCATATAGACAGAATACACCAAGACAATCGAATCGGTCGGCTACAATGGCTAAGTTTGCGATATTCGGCACGGGAGGATTGGGCTGAGAAAGCTCGAGACCGTGGAGGACACGTAGGAAGTCCGCGGTAAGACCCTCGATGGAATTGACCTTCGATATCTGCCCTATATGGACCACAGTGATACAAGGCAGCTCATCTGCCGGGACGTCCTCGAAGCTCGAGTACTGGTCCCGCAGCGACCTGTGCTTCTCATGAACAGCCGTGGCTTCGCTAAAAGCACCTCCAAGAAGATGCTCAAAATAAGGCGAGGTCCGGCGTATATGCCCCGAGTCGACGCGATAACGAGACTCCTCTTGGTGCTCTTCATGAGAAACGTTCAAGACTAGGTCGCCTGTAGACGAAATGACAATGATTTCTTGGTGTAGAATGCCGGATGCCATGTTGATATGCAGCTAGCTCCAGGACAAAAGAAAGTATGCTAGTGACAGACCACTCACGGATACGGCCAGAACATACTGACGCGCTATGTCTGGGAATGGAGGAAGCAAATGAGTGCACTGTTGCCTCCGGACGAATCTGAATGGACTTAATCATTAGGTATAACCTGCCAAGCCGTGAGAGCCGCTAAACATTTTAGCGTAGATGTGTTGAGATCACGTGGAGCATCATTAGCGTCATTTTAAGTTGCATCGGGTCTCGAGCAAGATAGAGCAAGATAGAGCAAGTTTTTGTTACTTAAGTACTTCGACCACCACCAAATTACATTTCCAGTCTATGGCTAACAATCCCTTTTCATCTGCTCGTCTTACTCGGACACCTCTCGAACGTTTGATGATGTTGGCACGGCTGACTTCTCAGTCTCGATTCCCTTTCCAGAATTGGCCTCACTGTCCAAATCACTGCTCTCACCGACAGATGCGGACGTTGTCTTAGCCTTCATGAACGGCAGATGACCCTTCTTCTCTTGGTAACTCATCAATAGGAAGCCAACAATGACCACTAGCCAGTAAAGGTTGTATGAGATCACTGAGCCGTAAGTCGCAGAGTTTGTCCAGCCAAAGAGTGAGTTGAAGACGCCCCAGCCACCACCACCATTAATTTCAGGGTTGGCATACTTGCACAATGTCAGCGAGTGTGAGGCAAATCCTACATGGAGCTTACGTTAAGATGCCAGACACTTTTACGGATGTCGTATGAACCGGGGCCTGCGCCCGTTTCCGCTGCATCACCACCAATGATTTTGTTCCACTAGCATTACTAATTAGCACAATTACCGCAATTATGGCAAAGATCATCCACGTACCGCATTGTTCTCGAAACTCCAAACAGACCTAGTGAACAGGCCAGCTGCGACGAGGTAGAGAAAGCAGGTGGAGATGATCAGGAAAATCTGCAAGGAGGTTCGATTGGCACCCCTAATGATTGTTAAATGGTAGAGCAAGACTCCAGAACACTCGACCACTCACTTGTACATAAGAAAGCCGACCAAGGCTCCAGCACCAAGGCCACAGAGGACAGCGAGCGGAAATGATTCTGCTGGCAGACCGAGTCCAACGCCACCGATGAAGACAACGGCTTCAAGGCCTTCGCGCAACACGGTGATGAAGGGTAGAAGGAACATGGCGTATTTCTCGGTCCAGGTCTTGAATCGACCCTGAACAGGCTTCTCGGATCGATCCTTGGCTTCAATTGCTCGGGCAATTTTTACTCGCCATTTATCCTGGAGTTTTGAAACCCGAAGGAGTGCAGCGCCCATCAAAGAAATGATTATGGATGCAACCAGACAAAATACACCCTCCCAAATGTCCTCGGTGTTGGCAAACACATCCTTCTGAAGCCCGTAGAAGGCACCGATCATACCGGCTGCAACGGCATCAGACCTGAAGAATTGCTAGAATAAGGAATCGCTTACCTCCAATGACGATGCATATCCCCAGACCTGCTCCAATACCAACCCAGACCTGGAACATCAGAACATGAAGCTGATGAGGGAGTGAAAGTGTAAGATTACCTGCTTGACCAAGGACTTGTAGACTTTAGGATCCCGGTCAGGACCAAGGGTTTGCTTCAAGAAAGACAGCAAGACGGCTACAATGATGCTTGTCTCTAAGCATTCTCGCAAGCAAATGAAGAAGACTAGATGCCAAAGTTAGCAAGTGTTGGTAGCAGCATAGTGCTTGCGAGACTACCTGGCACAGCGAAAACGTTGACCATGGCGGGCGAGTAGCTAAATTGACGCCAGCAGAGCTGGCAGTAAGAAGCGATGAATAAGATATAATCGCAAAATAAAGATCAAGATCAAGATAAGATGGGAGCGAGCAAGAGGAACAGGTTGAACGAGGCGGCAAAGCGATGGTACAGCTCAGATGATCAGATAAGTGAAAAGATAACTTTATCCGAACGACAAGACCCAGGGATCAGACCAGGCTAGCCACAATAGGGATCTCTGAAAAGCCTGGAGACGGAATGACAAAGTCTACCTCAGCGTTACAACGGCGTTCTGCCGAACATGTAACAATCAAGCGAGAGCGGCATCAGGACAATGATTGGAAAAATAATGGCATCCCACGCGAGGCGTCTGCTAAAGGAAGGCCTTAACAATCGTGACAAGGGACTTCGGGCATATTATGGAGTGAGGGCGCGCCGAGGCGTGCAAAATATGCAGCCTGGACTCCCCAAGCTTGGTCCATTCAAGCTTGGACAAGAAAATTGGCATTAAGACTAATACCACAGGTACCCAATGATTGATGAATTCTACATGTTGTGACGCCGTTAGACCCGGCGCATGACTTATCTGATCGGCTCTTTAGCTGCCACTGGCCCTGAATTTTGAACCAACAGAGAGATCTTCACTTTACACTCTTCGTTGCTGCAGCACGATCAGCTCCTCGGGACATATCGTCGTGTTCTATGCAGCTTCCTTGCTCGATGCACGACACTAGGAAGAAGAATAAAAAATGAGGATAACGATGTTGAAGGCGATCCTACGTGCATCCTGGCCTTGACGTCGAGTCAGGGGAGGTTTTGTTATCAGATGCTTGGATCCAAGGCCCTGTCGCGCTAGACTACACAAATTACACACCACATCCTCGTATAGAGGTGCGCCATTTTCTTTACAGCGGCGTCGCGTAGCAGACGGATCGCACGATGCCGAAGAAGTCCAAATTGTATGTAGACTCATCTGTCAAGACATCTGTCAAATGCACGACCAACATTATTGAATTGGCATCAGCATCATCATCCTTATTGCAGTCTGTGATGCCTCGCATCGCATCTATCCGGTAGCCGTCAAAGTCATTAATACTGTCACTGACTGTCACTCATATTGGCACCCCACGAGAACTAATATCGAAGCTTCGGCCTGCAGACCAGCCGCCAGACCCAGATCCAGACCCAGAACGATCGACACGAGTCACTGCTAAGACTGCACTCTGCAACATGCTCCACAATCCCGTACCCGTACCCGTATTTTCACTTGCATCCGCACAGGCCCTCCGAACAAAGTAAAGTGGCGTGGTTCGATCAATCCTATTATCATATCATATCTGATCTTTTTCGCCGGACTACGGTTGGACCCCCGCTATCTCGGGTTTCGATCTTATCAATCAGTCCATCACGGACTTCCTCTCCTCCAGCAAATACTTCTCCTTCACCAGCTCTTTTATGGTTCTGGCTCTGGCTGTCGCTTGGATCTGACCATTGCCCCGAGAAGACGTCGTCTTAGGGAACCATGACCTCACGCTTCCTTTTTGCTGGCTTGACTGCATTGTCGGCCATAGCAGTTGCCAGTGCTGCGACTGTCACCAAGGAGTTCAACATTGGCTGGGTGTACGGTAATCCTGATGGAGTTTTCAACCGTCCTGTCATGGGAATTAATGGCCAGTGGCCCATACCTGCCCTGTTCGTCAAGAAAGGCGATACTCTAGTCGTTAATGTCAACAACCAACTGGGCAATGAGACTACCAGTTTGCACTGGCATGGTCTATATCAAAATGGCACCACCAATATGGACGGGCCTGTTGGAGTCACTCAGTGTGAGATTCCTGTCGGAGGCTCGTTCACTTACAACTTCACCGTAAGCACCTTCCACCATCAGAGATGCGCTACAAGGACTGACTTTGTTCAGGTTGACCAACCTGGCACATATTGGTTCCACAGTCACACTCGAGGGTGAGCCAACTTTGCTTGTTCCAACGGAATATGCCTAACAGCATAGCAGACAATACCCAGACGGCCTCAGGGCTCCGTTTATCGTCGAAGATGATGAGATGCCATTCGCTGACATGTATGACGAAGAAATCATACTTTCATTCTCAGATTGGTATCATGATTTGATGCCTGGGTTGCTTGCCAGTTTTATTAGTGTCTCCAATCCTACGGGAGCCGAGCCAGTCCCTGATTCGGCCTTGATGAATGATACACAGAATCTTGAAATACCAGTGTTGCCAGGAAAGACCTACTTACTGCGCATGGTTAACATGGCTGCGTTTGCCGCCCAGTATGTCTGGATTGAGGGCCATGAGATGCAGGTTGTGGAGGTCGATGGTGTCTACACAGAGCCTGCCACCGCTAACATGCTATACATGACTGCCGCACAGCGGTACAGCGTTCTCTTTACCACGAAGAATGACACTTCGGCCAATTTCCCCATCATGGGCAGCATGGACCAGGATCTTTTTGACGCTATTCCGGATGGTCTGAATCCTAACGTCACTGGATGGCTGGTCTACGATGGCGCCAAAGACAAGCCCGCAGCTCAGGAGCTGGATGCTTTCGAGCCCTTTGACGATTTCACCCTGGTCCCACACGATAAAGAGCCAGTGTACGAGAACGTCAACCACAACGTGCAGCTTGACCTGAAGATGGACAACCTCGGAGACGGCGCGAACTATGCGTTCTTTAACGATATCACTTACGTTCCGCCTAAGGTCCCTACCTTGTACACCGCCATGACCACGGGCGAGACAGCGACGGACCCCGCCATCTACGGTATCAACACGAACCCATTTATCCTTGCGCAAGGCGAGGTCGTCGAACTTGTCCTGAACAACGACGATCCTGGGAAGCATCCCTTCCATCTGCACGGCCACAACTTCCAGGTTCTGATCCGCTCAGACGACGATGCTGGCTTCTATGATGCTGCAACATCCAATGCCACGATCCCCGCAACACCGATGCGTCGCGATACCGTCCTCGTGCGTCCAGGTGGGCATTTTGTTCTTCGTTTCCGTGCTGACAACGTATGTCCTCCTTCCATTCCGCATCTGTATTGAACGCCTGACTAACACCATTTCTAGCCCGGCATCTGGCTCTTCCACTGTCACATCGAATGGCACGTCACATCCGGCCTCATAGCCACCTTCGTCGAGGCGCCTCTCGCGCTGCAGTCCTCTAACATCCCACATGACCACCTTGCTGCATGCGCCGCAAACAACCCTCCCACGCCCACCGCCGGCAACGCAGCTGGCAACACCGTCAACCTCCTCGACCTGACCGGCAACAACGAGCCACCAGCGCGTCTGCCGGCGGGTTTCACGCCCAAGGGCATTGTGGCGATGACGTTCAGTATCCTGGCAGCCCTGCTGGGTGTTGCGGTCATTGCGTGGTATGGAGCGCAGCCAATTGCAAGTGAGCAAGGCAAGAAGATGGCCGAGCATGTCATTGGACAGGAGGGCGTCAAGAGTGCTCCTGCTGGCGGCGAGGGTGTTGGAAGCACGGCTGTTGACAGCGCTGGTGGTGACGGCGGGTTCGTGAGGACGTGAGAACGTGAGCTGCGTGGAGGATAATGGTGCGAATGTAATATAGCATACCCCTAAGTAGCACAGAAGAAATCGCTTACCTGAATATGTGCTGAGATTCATTTGTTATGATGCCTTTCTTGGGAGTCGCACCGTCTTCGAGAAGCGACACAATCTCCTGGTACATCCTACTTGGCTCGATTATGAACATCGGACGCTCTTCATCATCACACCGTCGCTCTACTCACCTCGCTCTCAACGCCGCTAATGTCACGCAGGGGGCTTGTTGATGAACAGCCTCGGCCTTCACCATGATAGATCCTAGTATGTCCATTCTCTTTTGTTTCAGATGTTGCCTTCGGTACTTATTGCTACCTATGTACCTGGCACCCAATACGGCATGTGAAAATCCTCAGCAATAACAAAGTCATCTCGTTCCTTGCATACACCCCTGCTACCGAGCATGGGCAATCCACCAGCTGCCGCGTGCATCAGTCCCGGATGCTGATGCTGATATCCATGGCTCGGTCGACCAGTGTCTGTGTCTGTCTGTGCCTATGCGTGTCTGTGCAGTGCCGCACCAAAGCATGCGCTACAGCAAAACTGAACCTAAAACTCGCCGACGCCGTAGGGAGCTATAACGCCGCAGGAACGGGGGGCCCGCTAGCCTTTTAGTCGCTTCCCTCACCCATCATCGCTCAGGGAATATCACCGCATCCCTACACCCTTGAGCAGGCCTTGAAATACACATCAATTCACATCACCACAACTAACTACTTTGACAATCCACAAGCCTCACAAATAATGCGACGACACCACTGACCAGCCCTTCTCTCGCCCTTGCCGCGCCCTTTTCCCCCCGACCGAGAACGCCCGTCCACACACCACCACGAAGCTCGATCTCTCGAGGATCACAAACGTCACAAAACACTCTCACCCTCGAACGTTACACACAAACCCCACGAACCCAACCATGCCACCCGCACCATGGCGCTCACGCGTGGCGTCCTCCCTATACCCCGACTTCCTCACACTCTTCAGCACATCCACCACCACGTACACGCCGCAGCGCAGCACTGCACACCTGGACGGCCTGCGCGGCTTCGCGTCGTTCATGGTGTACGTGCTGCACCACGAGCTGTGGGCGCACAGCGCGCTGATGAAGCACTACGTGCTGGAGAGCGCGTGGGGGTGGGACGGCAACTACTACTTTGCGTGTCTGCCGATTGTGCGGGTGGCGTTTACGGGGGGTCATATCGCGGTTGCGACGTTCTTTGTGCTGAGCGGCTACGTGCTGACGGTGAAGCCGCTGGGGCTGGTGTATAAGGGGGATATGGTGGGGCTGGGGGAGGTGCTGGCGAGCAGTGTGTTTCGGCGGTGGGCGCGGCTGTTTGTGCCGATTGCGGTGAGCACGTTTGGCTATGTGGTTGTCATGGAGGTGTTTGGGCTGGAGGGCACGAGTTTGCATGAGGTCAAGGAGACGTTTGGGGAGCAGGTGTGGGATTGGTATATCGAGTTTAAGCACTGGAGCTATATCTGGGACCGGAATATCATTCCGTGGCTGCCGTACAATTCGCATACGTGGACGATTCCGTTCGAGCTGAAGGGGAGTCTGTTGGTGTGGATGGTGGCGCTAGTCACGGCGAGGTTCACGAGGAAGAGTCGGTGGTGGACGTATGCGATGTTGATCGTCTACTTCATGTGGATATGTCCGGAGGGCTGGTATTGTGCGTACTTCATTGCAGGCATGTGGCTAGCGGAGATCGATCTCCTGGCTGCGACTGACGCGCTGCCGGCATTCTTTGCGACTTTCGAACCATACAAGAACGTAATATTCAGGGGCTTGTTCGTGGTCAGCATGTTCCTGGCGGGTGTCCCGGCTGCGAACAAGGATATAGAGGTTTTTGCCACCTCGCCCGGCTGGGTCTGGTTGCGACACCTCAAGCCGGCCGCACTCGACGATCCGAAATGGTTCTATCTCTTCTGGGGAGCTATTGCTCTGGTTACAAGTGTGTCCCGGATTGCATCGCTCAAGAGGTTCTTCGAAACCAGGTTCTGCCAGTATCTTGGCCGGATTTCTTTCTTCCTCTATCTCTTCCACGGACCGGTTCTGGCCTGGGTGGGACGTAGAGTCTATGCTGCGGTGGGCTTCGTCAGAAAGGACCTGGACGACGATCCGGAAAAGGGGATCCTGTGGTGGTGCAATCGTCTTCCAATATCGCAATGGGGACCTATGGGGCTGGAAGTCAATTTCGTGTTATGTCAGATCGTCTTGTTGCCTTTGACCTTATATCTGGCGGAGCTCGGGACGAAATGGATCGACGAGCCTACCGTAAAATATGCCCAGCGCCTGTACAAGAAGTTGAACTCTGGACAAACGATCGATTTGGGAGCGGCTGGGGCGCGAGACAAAGAAGTGTCTAATCCAGGGCCCAGTTGAGATACTTGGGCCTACCAACAGCCAAACCAGCCAACGCAACCGAGAGCGACAGGATCATTATTCGATCGCAGCCATGGCCTATCAATGTTCTGCAAGACGTTGTAGACATGTGTCCCAAGACCTCCGCGTTTCGGTGGGCCATGACAAGAGCAAGTTGAGACGATGACTGTTTCGAATATCGACTATCTATATCGACTATCTGCTCAGCGGCATAGTTCTGCTATGTACAAGAGTAGCGAGCATTACTTTTTAGACGTATCAACGCCTTTGTCAATTGGCTGCCGTGTCAGACCTCATTGCTAGCGGGTATCTTCGGCCCGGTCTACCGACAATGGCGAGTCCCAGTGCCAAGATGCGGGAGCGACCCTTTCATATTCCAGAGTCCTGGGGGACTTCGTGGATGCATGTTTCAAGAGTGTGATTATAAGTGGGAAGGACTTACAGGGTGTAATATTAATGTCGGGAATCATACCGATTGTGTACAGTTGCTAGTTGAATTGAGGCTGCAGAGGCACAGAATGATGATTACAGGACTCGGAAGGGCCAGTGGTGTTATGGAGAGCAGGTTCATCATTTTACTCTGTCTCGGAAGGGGACGCAGCTATTTCTTCGAACATATGAGATAATATCCAGCCATCTGAGACTGTACAAGTCTACTAGCTTAATGGGTCGCATAGACGTCGGGCACGGATCATATAAGGCGTAAAAGGATTCTGGAAGATTTGGCGTGTGGGGATGTTGCGGGGATCTGCATACTGGGACAGATCTAGTAGTCATTCCATGCATAGATCGGTCGTGCGCCGAGATTTGACGGTCATATGAATAGGCGTTTCGTATCCACATGAAGGGCGATTGAAGCTGAAGGTCGGCCGAGTTCAGGCAGAACATGTCTTTACCTACTGTGTCATGATAGACGGTGGGGGAGTTGAAACATCAGGGTAGCAGGTACTTTCAGCCCCCTTGGTCGAGGACAAGTAAAGCAAGATTAGGGATGAGGCGTGGTAGTAGAGGGTCATAAGGACGAAGTGTTGTGGAGGATGATCATGTAGGGATGTGTCCGGGGAGGAAATCCGGGGCTGTTGTAAGATGGAGAAATGTCAAGTTGAGGGGACCCAGTGGTGGATCTCGAATGAGTGGAAAACGCCCAATTAGCCTCACGCTACCTGCCCACCACTGAGCGATTGGATGGAAAGTCATGACTTCTCTCGCCGTTTTCTCGTCTCTCCATCCCACTATCCCTAGACCTCCTCCCAACATTCTCACTCACCGGCTAATTTTGTCCTCTATCACCACACCCATATCGCGTTGACTGCTGTGCCTCGACACGATAACACAGGACTCCAGTGTTAGTATTGGTAGATGGAACGACCAGCGGTTTGCATACCCAGTCTCACCATACAAACCGTGGCTGGCCGGCATCGACTGGATGCTACATCGACACCCCTCCCGGAGCAATTTACCACCAGGGCAGTATTAAGTACACAGTGACAGTGCTACATACAGGCCATAGCGATAACCTGGACACATAATCGTCCGGCTCACCTTAGGTCTGGGGTCCTGTATCTGCTGGCCTGTCGACCTGCCCCATCGACGTAGATGCTGCCGATGCCTCGTCGATCGGCCTGATCAAGAACTGTATCTACCCTTTCTCGTCCTCAGCAGCATCTGTATAGTCGGAAACTCCTCTGGACAAAGGTGACTCTGCACGATTGATTCGAATAGCGATCCTCTCGTTTGGGCACGGCACACCCAGCTCCGCTGCCCGATCCGGCTGGTGTATATCCGATAGAGCGCTAGCGCCATGTTCCATACATTCCAAACCGTTGCAGCCACAACATCTCCCGAGGGCAGCGGGAGCGGCGATACTTCTAAACCCTCAAAGACGGCAGCATCTCGGCGTGTTTCTACCTCCAATGCCTGTGTCGAGTGCAGACGGCGGAAGATCCGATGTGACGGCTCCAAGCCGTGTGGACAGTGCCAATGGTATCAGCATCCCGAGGCCTGTACATATCAGAAGCCAGCGCAACGTATAATACCGTCCAGGAAGTAGGTAGATTTCACTCTTTCAGCCTGAAGATAATCGAGTTGACCTGTGTTAGACTGGTCGACCGACTCTCCAGCCAAGTGGAGCAGTATAGGGCGATTCTCCAGCGACTGTATCCTCAGAAAGATCTTGACTCACTGGTCGACAAACCTCGAGACGAGCTACTGGACCTCGCGCTATCTACCCCAGCACTGAGCTCAGCTACGTCTCCGCCCGAGTCAATCCCGCACTCCAAGTCTGACACCAACCCCAAGTCTGAAGGAGAGCAGAGCCTCGAGGCCTTGGAGCAAGCGCCCGAGGAAAATCCACGATGGGACGAAGCGCGGAAGCATCAGGACAAGATCCAAGGCATCTCGGACGATATCAACGGGCTTTCCATGGCTGTTGATCGTCATTCGTCCTATGTGGGTATCTCCTCCATCACTGCTGCGTTCAAGGTCATCGTCAAGGTCGCTCCCATTGCGAGGCCGTTCATCACCCAGAGCGTCATCGACACGGCACAGCCCAGTCGAGCAAACAGCCCACCACCAGAGCTGCTAGACTTGAACCCCGATGCATTACCTCGCCAACAAGATGCCCAGAAGCTCATCGAATGCTACTTTGAGCGAGTACACGTCTACTTTCCGATGATCAATGAGCGGAATTTCTGGACGACATTTCTCTATGGAGAACGGAAAGACTCTCCGTGGCTTGCCCTGCTGAACATTGTATTTGCTCTAGGATCGCTAGCATCGTCGACATCGGACAACCAGATGCATTACGTCTTCTTTACCCGCGCTCGACAGCATCTATCTTTGGAGTCGTTTGGGTCCGGGAATCTTGAGGTTTTACAAGCTCTGTCGATTATGAGCGGCTATTACATGCATTATCTGAATCGACCGAATGAGGCGCATTCCCTGATGGGTGGGGCATTGAGGATGGCGACTACTCTTGGCTTACATAGAGAGTATGTTGAGCCCTCTGGCGTAGTGGCGAATCTCTACGATTCGCAAAAGGCACAGCCATCTGACGCGATATCTACTGAGATGAGGCGTCGGATATGGTGGAGTCTATTCTGCATGGACTCGTGGGCGTCGACAACTACGGGCAGGCCATCATTGGGACGGATGGGCGATGCGATCACTGTACAGCCCCCGAGGAGCTTCATCGAGCAGGTAGCTCACACAATTACCCAGCATGATTGACTTGGCTAACACGTTTATAGAGCTACGTATTTACACAGATCAACAATCCACAAAGCCTGGAAGCGTTGAAAATCCTGCCTCTGATTCACTTTAGTGAATTCTGCAAGATCGCGACCAGGATACAGGATCGTCTGATTGAGAGTCCACTACTCAAGTTTGACGAGCTTTCACAATTCGACTCGGAGATTAGTCGATGGCGCGACGAACTGCCATCTATACTGACAGACTTCAACGAGCAGTGCCCAGACTTTCTAAGGGTTATTCGGCTCGTGCTGAAATGGAGGTACCAGAACCTTCGGATCGTCTTGCACAGGCCAACTCTACTGTCGTGCGCCCTTCGACACACACCCTTCTCAATGCTGCCTGCGGAGGAGAAGGTGACGGTCGGGAAATGTCGGATCATCGCCAACAAGACGATCGAAGACATACACAACGAATGTCCTGCAGATCTCATCGCCGGCTGGAACGGAGTGTGGTTTGTGTATCAGGCCTGCATGGTGCCACTGGTCAGTCTCTTTACCGACGGCAGCTCGCCTGAAGAGGTCGAGCGCTGGAAGCACCAGATCGAGACAGCGCTCATCTACTTTAACAAAATGCAAAGATTCAGCATCGCTGCCAAGAAGAGCGCGAGCGTGGTCTCGAAGCTTTACGAGGCGTTCAATACAGCCCAGGCGGCCGCCGCAACCGCGCGACAACAGCCCCAGCAGCAGCAACAGCAACAACAGCAGCAGCAGCAGCACATCCAACAAGGCCAACAACAGCAACAGATGCAGCAGGGCCAAGAGTATACTCAGTACCCCGAATTCAACCAGTTTGGTAATCCGATGCAAGAGCCGTCGATGCTGGCGGCCATGGGCCATGATATGGGCATGGGCATGTGGCCTCAGGCCGCAGACACGGGCAATCTCAATTCGTTCTGGGATGGAATGATGTGGGATACGTCATTCCCGGACCTGCCGGACCACGAGTACATGCTCGGCGACATGGACTACCAGGCAGCGGCCCAGGGCCAGCAGATGTGGAGATATGACCATCCGCAATGATCTGGTGGGAAAATGGGCGCATGAGTATTTTTTGGTTATGTTCATGATTGTGTATGTATAATGCGAGTTAGATGCATCTTGGAGGGAAAAACGGGGGGGAATTGCTCCAAGCAAATGGATGCTTGGCTGCGGGTGTCAAGGGGGTGTTATATGGAAGAATTTTCAACAACTGCAAGCTATGCGATTGAGTGCCTGTAGCACTGATTATATATATATACCCATCTATATCAACAGGACGTCCTTGTCTTTAGCTAGCAAGCAAACAGTATAATATGATTCGATTGCTGGTATGTTTCCCTATCGGGTAATGATCGACACCAGGCTGGGGTGCAGGTATATGAGGGCGCCAAGCAAAGACGCGCAAGGTTCGGCGGACAACCCCTGCAACCACAGAGCTGTGAGACCCGCCTGGCTAATACCTCTGTCGTCAATATCTTGCACTCTCTACTTCCCAAGCTTCCGCATCTCGCCGCCTCCAAGAACTGTGAATGCAAGTCGGTTCCGTTGATACAAGCACAGGCACAAAGCACAAGCGTATCGCCACATCATTCGAGTACCGTCATTAGCCCCTGGACGGTGTTTTTTTCCTCGTTATCACCCTTTATCGTCAAGTTTTAGCCCTCCCGTTCCTCCTCGTCCTGCGCGCGACGTGGGCTTCGACTTCGACTTTGATTCTACTCCGGCGACGGACAGACGCTGCGAAGAGGTTACTTTTACATCGATTGACTGTCGTGTCATCTGGCTTCATCGTCGACATCTTGCTTCAAGGCGAGCCAGCTCATGCACGTTTGTGACGGACTCGCTCGTGTTGCAGGCGCATCCACTCGACTACAAGGCTCAGCACGACGCGCAAACGGCTGCGTGCAACCCGGGTCGTAGACCTCTTTTATTATCTACATCTACTTCGGACTATATTGGGAGGACTCGCACAGAAAGACAAGATGCCAACGCAGACGAGAGCAAATGGTGCTGCCGGTGCGGCGAACGGGAGTGTCAAAAGTGCAGGGCAACAGGGAGCAGCGCCTGCAGCAGTGCAAGAGAACATCTTCCTGTTCATACCAAACCTGATCGGTATGTATGTCCATTTTCTATCCCGACAGTTTATGCTGGAAGACTGAGCTAACCGGGTGGGATACCTGGCAGGCTACTCCCGGATCGTGCTCGCGATCGCGTCGCTCTACTACATGCCGCTCCACCCACGCACATGCTCGCTCCTGTACAGCATATCGTGCCTCCTCGACGCGCTCGATGGGCTGGCGGCGCGCCACTTCAAGCAGTCGACCAAGTTCGGGGCGGTGCTGGACATGGTGACGGACCGGTGCACGACGTCGTGCCTGCTGGTGTTTTTGGCGTCGGCGTTTCCGCGATGGTCGATTGTGTTCCAGGGCCTGATCTCGCTGGATCTGGCGAGTCACTACATGCACATGTACGCGACGCTGAGCATGGGCGGGCTGAATCAGAGCCACAAGAATATTGACGAGGAGCGGAGCTGGATCATGAAGCAGTACTACTCGAACAACGTAGGTCGCGCCGGTGTTGGACGTGGGGGATGTCGGAGGGGCTGACAAGAGGAGATTGGTAGCTAACATGATTTGCAGAAGGTGCTGTTTGTGTGCTGCGCGCTCAACGAGCTGTTCTTCATCGGGCTCTACCTGCTGTCGTTTTCGTCGCCGATCCTGACGCCCTCGCTCCTCCAGCCGGCGCCCTCGTCGCTGCAGCCAGGCAGTCCGGCGGTGCCCGAGGCGTCCAAGATCTTTGCGTCGCCCTGGTCGGCCGGCGCGCTGGAGTTGGCCCGGTAAGAAGACGGATGCGGTTCATGCCTTGGGTTTGCTAACAGCGTGGACAGGGCAAACAAGATGGACAGTACGGTGCCGTGGATCCTGACGTGCGTGTCGGCGCCAGTGATGATCTTCAAGCAGGTGGTCAACGTGATCCAGCTGCAGAAGGCGAGTCAATGGCTGGCAGAAGGGGACCGAGAAGCGCGACGGAGCGCGGGGCTGGGCGTGAAGGCGGCGAAGAAGCGGAATTGATCAAGATGGTCAAGCAATATCATTTGACGTAATTGGCATGAGACGAGTGGCATGGCATGGCATGATATATCTAGGGATGGCGGATGGGAATGGACGAGGGGCATAGTTTCGGCCTGAGGGGGACAGACATGAGTGTGGTGTTCTCTTGACGTCTTCTTCTTCTTCTTTCTTCGTTTTCTTCTTTATCTTCTCTATTATCTTCATCTTCTTCATATTCACAAGGGCATCATCTTCTTTTCATTCCGCTCGTACGTAGGGGGTTTACTTGCAGACATGGCACTGGCGGCAGGGCAGTCAGTCAGTCAGTCAGTCAGTCAGTCAGTCAGTCAGTCAGTCAGTCAGTCAGTCAGTCAGTCAGTCAGTCAGTCAGTCAGTCAGTCAGTCAGT